TCATACAGTCCGATCGAAAGACCGACTTACACCCCAATCCATATTGATCTACCAGTATGTCGTGACACCCGGTTGTGATTGATTGCAAACAGTGAACTCTTCAGCAAAACCTCTGTAGGTGTTCGTTTTACGTGAGTTCCAGCGTATTACGTCTATGGTTCCAGGGAAGGCTCAAAATTCCTGGTAAATTGCATTGTATATGTGTTCGTCGTACGTGAATTCCGGGACAGACTTCAAATTCCTGGTAAATTGCATTGTATGAGCAATTTAGGTGACGAAATGCTTGTATGCGTGCCTAGTTTTTCTCTGATACCATGTTGGGGGCGATTAGACCCCGTACCATGCGTACAGCGATTAGAGCGTACATGATTGTTAACCCTTCAACTCTGACACTATTAGGGCATATACTAAACAAACCAAGAAAGGCGCTACATAATGAACTATTAGCTATATGGCCTACTTGTGATTGTTTCACGAAGAAGACATTAAGATAGGGATGATACACTATTCGTCACTTGATTCACTTCATATTTCACTTTATATAAAACCACACATGTAACATTCATCTCATCACTACAGATTCAATAGGGTTCTCCTACTACATAGGGCGGGGATTTGACTCCATGCAGGAGTGACCGTGTTTTTCTTTTTCTTTTTAACGATAGACTGGTTTACTTATATACATATTCGAATTTATGGATGTATCTTGCCTGGGGACCTAATGACGAGTTAATTCATTTACCTGTTATTAATGAATGAACTACAATACTCGGGATCCAGTCTGTGTATATTACTTGTTGCTATGTCAGGCAAGCTTCGGACAAGCTTCAGGGTCGTCAAGAACAATACTTGTTTTTAAAGTATGCATAACATTTCAATATGTAAGTAAACCGGTAGAATGCGGTCTCCGATCTAGGCGATCGGGTATTTCGGCACCACCCGGACTCCACTATTTCGGCAATCACTGATTTCAGTAGCGTACACAGTAAAAACGCTGTTTAAAAAAGTGATGTTCACTTACAGTTGTACACTATCTTAAACAACAGTTGAACAAATTGTAAACAATGTTGCTCGAAACGAAAGTAATTTTGTTAAACATTCGTTGTTTAAAATTTAATGACTGCTATATTTACTATACGAGAGCTTTTAGACAGTGTTGTTTACATATGACGTCATGTGTCTCGTGCCTGTAAAGTGCGCGCTGGCTAAAAGCTTTATTTCACATTGTTATGTTTAGAAACAGGTTCCTTGAAACTAACATGCAATTGAAATTAACATGCCACTTAGAAATGCAGTGCAGCTGTTCAGGCACAGCTCATTGTTATTCATATTAGATGCATACATACAATGCAAGTATATGCAAGGGTCTTCTGTTGACTACACAGATTGATACATATGTAAAAGCACATGGACATTGAGTCTGGATTAAACTACCAAAGCAACCACACGTGTTTCTGCAGGCTCCATTTTGTTTGTCTCTATACTTACATTTATTTAGCTTAATAGTTTTTACTTTCCAACCCACAACACAACACACATCATGGCCGACCAAGCTACCGACGCGCTTCTAAGTGACTGGGGATTCAATGTCTTAATTGAAATCACTTTTCTATTAACCAATTTGAAGTTTTTAACTTATAGCGTAAGTTCACAGTTACAATTTTCAGTATCTGTACGCAAATGTCAGAATAAAGGTAGACTTAAAATCGTCGCGTCATGCAGTGCGGCACTGATCGCGCACTCGGTTATAACGTGTGCTAAATTCCTTGCCATATAGATTGCATGTATCCCTATATATGCAGTTTATACGTGCGTGCATGCGCGCTCATGCAAAATGGGCACTGTTTTGGCGCTAATTCATGAATTGCAGAATTACCCTACCATATTGTAGTCTTGTAGTCTTCATATACCTTATATAGAGACCCAGAAGTAGTGGTGCACTTCTTCAGAGTATCAAACCCAAATTATACCCCATTATACAACCCTTTTGTTGTAAACAACCCCCACTGAACAACAGCTCCTTTTTAAACAACTTTCTTTAAACAACCCAGTTGGTGTAAACAACCCCCACTGAACAACAGCTCCTTCTTAAACAACTTTCTTTAAACAACCCAGTTGGTGTAAACAATCCCCACTGAACAACAGCTCCTTTTTAAACAACTTTCTTTAAACAACCCAGTTGGTGTAAACAACCCCCACTGAACAACAGCTCCTTTTTAAACAACTTTCTTTAAACAACCCAGTTAGTGTAAACAATCCCCACTGAACAACAGCTCCTTTTTAAACAACTTTCTTTAAAACAACCCAGTTGGTGTAAACAATCCCCACTGAACAACAGCTCCTTTTTAAACAACTTTCTTTAAACAACCCAGTTGGTGTAAACAACCCCCACTGAACAACAGCTCCTTTTTAAACAACCGTCTTTAAACAACACCAGTTGTTTAAATTGTGATTTTAAACAAGTTGTTCAAAATGTTGATCAACTAAGTGTTTAAACTTTAAACAACTCGAGTTGCTTAACATTTTAAACAACTCTTAGATCAGGTCACCCGTTAATCAAGAGTTGTTTAAACTTTTAAACAACTTGTTCACAAAAATTTTAACTGTGTAAGAGGTAAAGATGCTTGCCTCTCGCCTCTGGCGTTTTTCAAATTATGATGCGTAATGGTTTACAATCTCTTTAGTTTTCCTCAATTTTCATCTGATGCAATCAACGAGTTTTCGGCCTACTCACTGCCGCACGCGTTGCGCCAGTCGGAATCTAATTGTAAAACAATCGCTGTATCATGAGAAGTGCGACTAACTTCATTACGACTGAAATGCTTTTATAATTTCATATTTCACCGTATTACCTCCATCCTGCAATGTATATAACAGAGTGGGAAGTATTCCGCAATGTTGTACCATGGCCATCGATTGTAACACGCTCTCTCATTGGGGGGTTAACACGCCTAAGGAATTCAATAAGCCAATGGACTCTTTTCGTATAGAACTACTTCTTCAAAATCCCGCTGCGTCACTTCGCGTGTGAATTGTTCAAACTGTGCGTCGCTTCGCCAAACGTCGAATCGAGTGCAACATCGATATCTGAGCAGGTCAAAGCTCTTCCAAGAGGTCAACATGTTCAAGGTTAAAGTACTCTAAGACCTAACGGGGATAAGTACAAACAATTGAAGAATAAACAGCAAAACAAGTACATTTTCAGAACCAAAACTACATCTTAAAATAGCATAGACAACATGCCATGGATATTTTCCCATCACATTCCCAACTGTCAGTATCACGCTGAAACTGGAAGCAAAAGACGCAACTCTTCCATGTCTACTTGTAAGCTGATTTGATTGCAGTTTAGGCCAATAAAGCTACGTCTATAGCCTAGGCCATCAAGAAAAACTCTTCTTTATGCTTATAAAGCCCCACTGTACGACTTATAGCTACTTGCGCCCTCTATAGCAAACAATGCATAATCGGTGACCATTGGTCCCCCATATTCCCCTTTTGCGTATGATAATTGAGAGCTGATTTGATGAGATAACCAACTGTCAGTGACCTTGCAGGGAGGTCTTATCCCTTATGGCCAAACTAGTGCAGTGTTTTTTTTTTATAGAAAACATCTGTTTCTGCGTCATTCAAATAGCTCATGATGTTCGTTGCACACGAGGCGTTATTTGCTGACGTAGGGTTGCGTCATTGACTTGCGTTGCTTTTGACGTGCTACATGACAGTGACGTCATATACAAAAATAAATACGTAATGAGCGATGCAAACATTGCATTGAAATTCTTCAAGAATTATTCATTACTCTGAAGTCATACGTGATCCATTCACAGATAATAACACCATGGAAATGACATTGGACTGTGTCTGCGACTGACGCGATTTTCGACGCGCCTTTTGAGATTGACATCAAACGCAAAAGTAATGCAAAGGTAGAAGTGCATCGTTTGTTGGGTTAATGATCCATGCGCTAATTACCTTTATAATTATAGGCTAGGTGAATAGGGAATCGAATTAACGCCTCGTATGCGCGGACGCACGAAACCACTCTACATCCTTGTTCAAGATCTAATTCTGCGTTATTAACGTCTAAGCTCATGTTCGTAATCCGACCTGGCATTTCGGGAGCAACATAAAACACACCTGTCTGATTCGAAAGATTGGTGACAAATTTATTAATGAGATATAAGGTTAGCTGACAGGTTTGATAATTGCGACCTCGGATGAATTCACTTCAGACCTTCACGGTCAAGATTAGTGATCCAGAGAGTTTCCGACAATTAAATATACCTCACCAACATGTCCAACAAGTATGAGGGTGACTGTGGGGGTACGTCGCATACTCGCATTGCCCCTATGATCATGGACTTCTTGCTATGACTCATGACGTACCGTGGTAAATCAAGAGGCCTAATTAAGACACCCCTCCCCTCCCTCTATCTCCTACAAAATTTAAATTGATTAAATAAAATAGTGTGCATTTAATAACCATGATAACGATAAGGTATATACATTATTTTAAAGTCGATACTTTTAGATTTGATATGACATGTAAAAGAGCATATTTTTTAATATTTTTTTTGCCCCGGAAATTGGAAAATTACGTCGTCAGATATTTCGTTCAGTGGCTTTAAAAAAAAAAAAAAAAAATTTAAATAACATATTTGTTTTTAATTGAGGGGGGGTTAACCCCCCCCCTCCCCTGCGTACATCCCTGATGGGGCTACACGAACATGTGGCATAAAAATTCGTCCCGATTTGTATGTTGTTACATGCCATATATAGAATATGAAAGCATTTGAAGAGCCATGCCTTTCAGGGAAATTTTTTGTATCTGATGTTCTTCCACACTTGCATAATATCGATGATAATGCTCACAAATTATTTTTCACCTCTTCCCAGAACTCAAACTTCTCTTTGATTCAGGTCATACACACCTGCCGCCGTGTGCCAGCATCTATTATAATTTTCATCTTTTAACATTGTCTCTTTCTGCAGCAATTCATGACAAAGTACAAATACCTCGAGGATCTGACACCCCCAAATCAGCTGGTCGCATCTCAGGGAGACAGACAGCGGTCGTCGGAGACCACGACCACGCCGAGCAAGAAACGGGTGATGTCGAAGCTAAGCCAACTCCAGCATTACCTCCGTGTCCCCGTCTCCGGACGCATCGACGAGGCCACCGTTGAGGCGATGCAACGACCGCGGTGCGGCCGACCCGATCCGGACATTGCTGAGCTGAACGATCTGGAGAACGAAGACGTGAACGATGCGGAAGAACAGGCAAATGTTGGAAGGGGGCGGAGGAAACCGAAAAGACGGCGCCAAAAGCGTTACGCATTAGCAGGCGACAGGTGGAGTAAGAAACACATTTCATACAGGTAAGGAAACCATCAACGTCAATTTATATGTTTAGTGACCGTCAAAAGTAAGGTCATCGTTTTCAGATGCGTTATGAAATCCGACAACGTTTTAATGTTTAAAAGAATAACATCATGCTACAATATGCTTTGAATTACCATCTTGGCTAAATATTCCTAACACGTCTCATGGTCTAAAATGCGGAAAGCACCCCACGCCATCATATTATAATGGTTCATTTATTTTATATTCAATATTGAGTAACTCGATGGACCTGACTAATTATAAAGTATTGTTTTATCAAAAGCGAATTCGTAGATGACAAGATCGCAATGTTATCGTCACAATTAAATAAAAGTAGCCGAAACTCTCTCTTGCGATTCTAGAATCGACAACTATCCGACCAGCGTTTGGATCCCTCGGAGGAAAGTCCAGGACTCGATCGCGAGGGCGCTACAGATGTGGGGTGACGTCACTCCTCTCGATTTTCGAATGCTCGACGATTGGGACATCGACGACGAAGACGCAGACATCTACGTCTCGTTCTCGAAGTACCGTCATGGCGACCCGTATCCGTTCGATGGACCCGACGGCACAATCGCCCACGCTTATCTTCCTAATGGACAATTCGGCAACCTGGACGGCGACGTCCATTTCGACGACTCGGAATTCTTTTCCTACGATGGCGACTCAGGTAATAATGCGGGAGAGAGCTTTAAAAGTTTGCAAGAGATCTTTAAAGGGGAAATCCACGCTGATATTTAGTAGGTTTTAATTAAAGCAGAATAATGAGAGTAACAAATTAGCGAAAGTTTGAGCAAAATCCGATTAAAAATAGCAACAGTTATGAATTTTTGAAGTTGTCATTGTCTTCGTATCACCTTCTCTTTCTCTCTCTTTCTCCTTCCTAAATTCCACTTAATATCATAATTATTGACGGATACTCTGTATAATTATTCTCTATAATACAGGGTATAATCTGTTCAAAGTAGCAGCTCACGAACTTGGACATAGTCTCGGCCTTGAACATTCGCATACCATGGGTTCGATCATGGTTCCCGACTACGCGGGTTTCAAAGGCGACGATAACGAGTTTAAACTGGGCGATGACGACATAAGGGCGATACAAGTACTATACGGTAACTATATGATATACTATTATCGGTTTATATAGCGCTTAAAACATCATCGGTGTTTCTAAACGCTTAAAGGTACTATGTCCCTTTTGCAGCCAACCTCAAATGCTGTAGAACTTTGAAGGAATTATGAATATGTCATGTATGTCCTATCTGTGAAATTTAAACGTTAGCAGTGTCCTCATGTTCAAATTATGCAAGGAAAACCGTTTACTTGCCAGAATTCACTGTCAGACACTATTGAGTGACTGACTGGCTTTGGTAATAACATACATGAAGAGAGTTGTAAAGGGTACATGAGCATTTGTCTACATCAATAACCCACTTCTTGTGATGGCCAAGATTAAACTGATTGAATCTTTGCGCAGCATAAAACGTATGACCATTCGGTACAATTGTCTGAAAATCAAGACTATTACTTTTGGGCTCTATAGCCCTAAAGTCGATTTGACAACTAATAGTCGTTATTTTCCCACTTGAAGACATTTTCAAGCCCCACCTTTTTTAGGGAAGTTCTAAATTAGTATTATCTTTCAAATGCAGTTGGAATTTAACTTTTTCATTTTTTTGGCCTGCAAATGGGATATAGTGCCTTTAACATATATATTATTACCGTGGTCATTAGATTCACGGCTTGCCCACACACAATGTGTGCACATTCTCCACTAGCACTGCCTGGGGAGCTTTCCAGCCAGGCGCCATTGTATACAGACGTTCATAATCATGAAAATGCTGAGCAAAGTACGATGACTTTCGCATCCTACCGGGTAACCATTTTGACACCAGGGTGAGAGTGGCAAAAGTGCATTAACTTCTTACCAAATGACGTAAGTGGCCGCGCTGGGATTCGAACTCTCAACCCTTGGATTTAGAGTCCAGTGAATGAACCACTATACCACGACACCTGCACAATGCATGTAGTTTTCATCGCCCACGTGGTTGGATTAAATTATATATTCCATACTTAAATCACTGGAAATTATTCTTTTCCGGACTTTGTCAAAAATGATAATTCAGTTTAAATCAAAATTAAATCAAACCAAAATTATAATACACACCTGCAAAATAACGAATTAAAAAAAAATATATAAAGGTCCTTGATTTATAAGACTTAATTAAAGGCATCACAAAGCATGAGGAACAGTTTACATGGGAACCTTTTAATATCTTCTGTTTCTTCTTATACTTTGATATGTTGATAACATGTAATATTATCGCGTTCAATTGATTAAAAAAAAGGAAATTGAATTTTTGGCTTTGAAAATGCTAACTATAACTCCAAAGTCAGTGCTGTCGGTTAAATCACTAGATCAGGGTTGGGCGATTTTATCAGTAACATTGGTGATAAAGAATTAATCCAACAAGCAAAAAGTTTTGTTTAAACTTGTTTTTATGTGGACAACAAAAATAGACTTGCAGGCAGAAACTGGGGGCGGTGCGGCGGTGGTGTCCACAAAAATAGGAAAAATGAGATTCGGAGAGTTGCAATGAATCTGTACTTTCTATACATTATACAATTCAATTAAGCTGGGTTTTTAAGTAAACTACAATTATGATGTATAACTCATCTGCTATTTTTTCAATTGTGTAATTTAATAAATATGTTTGTATTAAGGAAACTAAACAAGCCATAACCAAACTAAAATCAATACTAGACTTTAATTCGTCACTTAGACGAATTAGGTGATACGTATGATATTGGTTTACCTAACAAAGAATGCATTACACGATATCATATTATTTTATAAAATGCTCTTCCCATAATGATCTATCCATATGTCAAGTTTAAATTGTGTCGATCCCTTGATCATTATGGATATAGGGAAGATAGATTGAGACAATATATGACCATTGACTCTGTGCAGTAACCAGTTACACCTTTGACTCTAATTTACATCATGAAGAACGCATTTTGACGATTTTTATCTTATTCAAAGAAATGAAAATATAATTGATAAATAAGAGCTTATGCCTGAATAATTAAAAATGTTTAGTGTATAACGTCACGATGTTCCGGCGTAAATGAAAAGTGTGAGAATACATTAGCGATCATTTTGAGTTGTCGACGTGAGATTCACTAGTTGCTTGAAAATAAAATCTTTAAATATCGGATGGATATATACTGTCACTGTATAAGGAATGTGGATTAGAGGGATATTAATCCGTCAGTCTTTCTTGAAGGCTTGTCAATTAAAGGAATACAAAGATTTGAATGTATTTCGCTCAAGAAATTACATACAGCATTGCCAGTAAATTTCACGGGATCAATGTTAAAATCTCCCATTTTATAAACCTGTTTGTGTTCAGTATGTGTTTTTTGTAAAACATTTTCAAAGACAGGGATGAAATCATTGATATTTGATTGGGGTTTCCTATATATGACACCTACAATAATATTCTTATGTCTCGGCAAATTGCTTTCAATAAACAGTGATTCATAGTTGTATGGTGGGTATAATATAAATATATCATTGTGTATTTCATATTCAAAATTGTCAGCGACCAATAGACCAATACCTCTACTCTTTTCTACTTGGCGATTAAAATGTATAAATGAATGACCAGACACATTGAATAAAAGTGGCGTACTATCATTAACCCACGTTTCTATACATAAGTACAGATGAAATCGGATAAAGCATTACAATGTATGTTTAAACTACGCGAATTAAAAAGTAAAATACTAAAATGATAGTTAATGTTACTGAATTCAGTCGTAAAATCCTCATCAATATAATATTTAAAGTTCAGAAACCTACTGAAATGAAACTCATATTCTTTTTCGGATAAATAGTTTAAATCATTGATATCAGTATAAGTATCTGTAGTATTACTACCAAACATTGAATGAAGTTCGTCATTATTCAAGTCCTGAATAGGAAATGAACAATGAGAACAGAGTGGGTTATTAATGTAGCCGAATGCTCATGTTCTCTATAACGCTCATTTTACGTATTTTATTACCAGAGAAAAAAAGATGTCAGTCAGTCACTCAATAGTGTCTGAGAGTAAAGTCTAGAAAGTAAAAGGGTTTCCTTACATAATTTCAATACGAGGACACTGCTAACGTTTAAGTTTCACAAATAGGACATACGTGACATATTCATCATTTAAACATTCAACTGAAAATTGTGACATGATCTCATCATCTGATCAAAAAACTAAAAGCACCGTTTTGATAGCCCATGGTCTCAGCTATAACATACCCACATTTGGGAGAAAACAGAGCACACATAAGATAGATAGTGCTCCTAGATGAATGCCATGTAGATTCATGATGTGAACGAAATTCACCTTCCATAGACATAACACGCAAGTGACGAAAATTCTGACATGTGGCCTTTAATTGAATTTTGTACTATGATGACCTCATTAAAATGAAACTTAGTGAAAAGTGATCTTGTAGAGAATTGCCTTATCTACAACATATCGACATTTCAAGGAGAATTGATGAATATTGAGAGAAATACACTACATTTTCCATAAATACAATGACGTCATAATATGCAATTTTGTATTTTTGACTTCCAAGGCCATTATGATGACGTTAAGATGTACTTAATGGCCAAATGAGATATGAAATCATACCTCCGACTCATACTCTATCTAAATATGAAAAAAAAATGGGCAATCCCTATTCATCCCAATGGACTTTTCATAGGCATGTTTTTGCCCATATATGCAATGTATTACAAAAATCGCGCGTACGGACGGTTATCTTGAACGGACGCTCATTCCGTTTTTAATAGTGATAAAGAGCTAAACATGGTATCAAATTTTCCGGAAAAACATGAGGAATATTCGGTCAAAAGCTTTTGCGGAGAAATTATTTTTCGTTCGGCCGTGACGAACGAAAACGTGCAAAAATGCGTGTTTTGCGTGATTTTTTATGAAATGCTTATAATGGCCTGAAACGTATGCAAAAAAAATTTAAGACGATTTTGAGCAATTTAAAATTTTACGCGCGCATTAACGCGCGCGCCTACGCGTACGCGCATTTTTGCGCGCATTTATTGACCTCAAATTGACCCGACGGATATTGATCTTAATCTTGATAAATATGAATGTAAAATTACTTTCCGTTATGAAGATATGATCATAAGTTGATTTTCACAAAATGGCGTCTAGATGACGTCACGATGATTTTGGGTCTCTAAAAATTCACGCAGTTCTAAGTTAGACTAAGATCTATCATCATTAACAGTTTCATGATAATGGTGTTATTGAGTCTTGAGATATCCTGCGAACAAATTCGAGGAAGAATAAATAAATAATAAAGAAAAATCTTGACGAAATCAATAGGTGATACGTAGACTTCGTTACGTATCACCTAATTATGTATAATTATTAGTCCATCATCAAAATGTATCCATGTTTTTAATCCTATTTGTGTTCTTTTTAAACTACGGTCTAAGCCTTTATTTTACATGTGATCCATGTTGAACTTACATTGTACAAATAAATACATTGAATTGAATTGGATTAATGCACACACTATCAAGTAGTACGAGTGAAATTGTTAGAATTTATGTTCATACCTTGTTCTTTCATGATTGTTTGTTTTTCATGTATAATGTATTTCACTGAAATGAAAGAAATAAACGAGCATCTAAAAAATGAAGAAGAATAAGGAGATATTCTGACTAATTTTAGACCATAACTCTATTATCTTTTTCTTCAGGTGATCCGAGTAAACCTCGCTACAAAGGCAATCCAAGGGCGGAATGCAACAAAGCATTCGATGCAACCGCGCTAATAGACGGGACCTTATTTTTTTTCAAGGTAATTTTATACACACAGTAATGTCTCACAAACACAGCAGTTCTACTTTTCCGCATGATTAGCAATAACGTCTTTTTATTTTGCCAATTATTAGTGATTAAATATGTGAATTTAAGTACAATAGTACAATTTTTTAATTATGATTATTATGTATAGGCTGTCATGAATAGGCTTCCAGTCAGTCAGAATAAATTCTTCAGTTATATAACACTACGATTACTTGTTTAATTCATGTTTCGCAGATGCAAAAAAAAAAAAAAAAAGTTGCGTTGGCCGGGAGTCGAACCCGGGTCAATTGCTTGGAAGGCAACTATGCTAACCGCTATACCACCAACGCTTCATGGAATGCTGGTGCGGTATTGTGGTATATATAAGACTGACGGTAATTTGTTGGCTGTGAATTTATGTGTATATTCTCAGTGCACAAGACTCATGATTTTTTGATGTTACTGCACTTCAACGTGTTAAATATATCAATTCGTTTTGTTTAAAGAACAAAAAGAAGAAGAAACAAATGCGATCCTCAAGCTGAAAAATAAGATCGCACTACAGGATATGACCGTAGAGGGCGACAATCCATACGAGTGCTCATAATTCACTTCAATCAACGCACTGCTGCCGTCTTGCTGATTGAGAAGGTGCCGGATTTAAGGGGGGCACAAACCACCCATACAATCACTGGCGTACGGATAGGGGGGGGGGGCTTGGGGGCAGTTGGCCCCTAAATAAAATTCAAACGTTGTTTAATTTTAATTCGATACCAGTGATTTACAAATGCTGCTGAAATGACATGACTTTCCGGTTTTTTTCCTCGCACTTTTGCCCATTATGCCAGATGCAGAACTTCCGGTGGGGGGTTATGGGGTGGGGGGGGGGGGGGGGGGGGGGGGGGGGGGGGGGGGGGGGGGGGGAGGCACTGCACCCTTACTTTTTCAAGTACCCCCAAAAGTCGCTTTTTACATAGGAAAAGTCCCTTTGTACATAGGGAAAGTGCTCCTTTTCTTTTCTAATAACTGTCCTTTTCCTCTCAACTTTGTGAGTACGTCTTTTCAAGTCCCCTGTCACCTTTGATATTTTTGCATTTTTTTTAATTCCTGCCCCTTTTCCTGTTTAATAAATGTACTTTTTCCTTAGAAATAAGAAACACCTTCCCTTTCTCCCTTTCTCTTAAATACCACTTTTCCCTCTAATAAGTGTCCCTTTTATTTTGACACGTGCCCCTTTTCCTTTCTGATAAGTACCATATTTCTTTCGGATAAGTGCCCATTTTCCTTTTTTTTTTAATGAGCCTCTCCCCCTTTCCAAAGTGCCCTTTTTAAAATTGGATAAATGCCCCTATCAAAATCTGATAGGTGACTTTTCCTTCAACAGACTTCCCATTTCCATTTTCAGTTAGTGCCCTTGTTCATCTCTGTTGAGTGTCACTTTTCAGGTGCAAGAACTTGAGTGCCATTTACACTTCTGATAATTGCCCTTTTTGCGACGATGACTTTTTAAAATCAAAATGTCGCATATTAGTTAGTAAGTAGGCCTAATCTTTTAATTATTTTTGTGTTTATGTCTGCAGGATCGACGTTTCTGGCGTTTGAAGAGGAAAGGGAAACTCATATCGCCCAAGAAAGGAGAAAAGATCGCACGAAGATTTTCCAAAATGCCACATAAAATAGATACCATCTACCAGCGCAAAGACGGGCATGTCGTAGCGCTTAAAGGTAAGCTATCATTAAATATTATATCCTGCATCAAAAATGTATTGGGTTTTGGTTGGTTGAGAGCTCGTCACGTGACCAGAAATATTTTAAACTATTTTAAGGTTGCTCTGAGAAAGTGATATTTGGTAGTATATTTGGAAGTAGACCTTTTTCGGATTTTTTAAATTTGTTTTTATTTATTTTTTAATAAAAATTGTAATTTTATTAATTTTAATTTTTTTCAAATGTCAATAAAAAATTTCATCTTTTATATTTTTAAAAAATTATTTTGTTGATGCAGGATATAAAACAAATATACCTGCCTTCTTTACGAGGTACTGGTTAAAACTATGAGCCTCGGTGACTCCAATAGTACCATTTGCTTCTCAATGGGCATAGTTTTAACCAGAACCTCTCAAGACAGTGTAAATGTGTATACTATTGTGAATGAATTATTATTTGTCAGGACAGGGAATTTTCATGATTTAAAGAATGCCGAAACTTCTGACTTCGACACAATAATAGTTGTCCCAGCTTTTCAACAAGCTCAGGCTCGTTACAGTGGTATATCCGGAAATGGACAACCAATGGAAAGGAAATTCATGGAAAGGGGAAAAAACACATCTTTATCATGAGAGGGGTAAGTGGGGGAGCTAGGGGACATGGCCCCGGAAGCCGGGAAACCCTTTTAAACAGAGAATTAATGGGTTTGGAAGACACCCCTCGATCATCGACTCCCAATTAAAAGTTGCGTCCAGCATCGAGAGAGTCGTGACGGGCATGCATCGGGGCATGCATTCTTTGAAGATTGTTTTTGACTGGGCATTCGAATGGGGCTCGGTTTAACGGTGTGGTATTGAGGTAGATAGACCCTACTTAGCTATCAAACTTTCAAAGTTTTAAGCTTGATACTGTTTTGATAAAAGGTTAAAGTTTAAAGTTTTGTAAAAAAAAATACAATAATTTTGTTACGTAACGGTTTGCTGATTCCGTCCTGAAATAGAACTGATTCTCAAATCAATTTGATATCCATCCTCTACAAATTAATGTTAGGCCTATAATAATTCCCTCCTTGCTCTTTAATATCGACAGGCCATATGCTTTGGACTTACAAGGGTAAGACGCTCTTACCGGGCTACCCCCGCTCTGTACGGTCCCGGAACATGCCGGGTCATGTGGATGCCGCCCTGCACTTCAGGGCCTACAACAAGACGTATTTCTTCCGAGGGCCCTATGTCTGGCGGTACGATGAGAAGAGGGAATACGTGGACGCTGGGTTCCCGACTTTGACGAAGGAGGTCTTTCCCGGGATACAGACGCCGCTAGATGCAGCCTTCCAGTTTACTGATAGTGAGTTCCAACCCCCCCCCCCCCCCCCCCCCCCAAAAAAAAAAAAAAAAAAAAAAAAAAAATGTGTCTACTTGTATAATGATGGGCATAAACATCAACACTATTCATTGATAGAAGCATCTTTATGACCAACATGACATGATGCTGCATCATCCAAATCAATATGATAACAAAATTAAACATCCGTTTCGTCAGTATGTTCAGTGGTGGTTCTGTACCCACTACCCCCCTCAATAAATTGCTGGTGAATATAAGAAAGGACAAAGGAGAGAAAATAGAGAAGAAGAAAGTGAGGGAGCAAGCAAAGTTAAAACATAGTTTGACACCACCGTCTACACCTAATTCCATCACACTAAGATAACAAATGTTGCTGCCCCACCCCCCCCCCCCTGATACCTGCAGACCAGTGGCCCACCTTGGGTGGACCCTTTTGTACCTTGTATCACCACTCAGTAAAAACAAATCTTAAAATGCTTGAGAACTTTGAGCGACCCAACAGCTCCTCGGGAATCTCCACTCCCTAATTCCGTTGTCATGATTTATTAGGCACATTAAAGATGCAAACAGATTAAATTGTGTTTACATTGTCATTGTACACTGAGTTACCGAGTTCCTTATATTTCCTCACTTGTACGTTGCTGGGACGGATCCAGGGGGCGTGGGCGCCGCATGCAACCCCTTCCCAAAAAATAGCAGGAAAAGCTAAGATTTATTCACATGAACGTTCAGTTTACGCATTCACAAAAATTAATGTCTCAGAATGTACCATAATTTTAGACCTGTTCAATATTTTGTCCGGAATCCCACGCTCGCTATTTCGTACATTTCACACCCGATGCCCCCCCCCCCCTCCTTTTTTTTGTGGAAAATCCTGGATCCGCCCCTGCATTTACCAGTATGAATTGGACATGCCATCAAAATACTTCATAGGGCGATACGCACCTAGATAATGAAAAGATTTCCACGTTTTAAAAATTTTTCTTTTCCTTTTCTTTGCAGAAAATCATTATTTCGTCCAACGTAAGAAGTACCAGAAGTACAGCACAGAACACCGCAACGCTGATCCCGGGTATCCCAGGTACTTCGGCGAGGACTTCATCATGTGCACCACTACGAAAAACAATAAAAACAGTGATTGATATCACTATTTTGCGGATGGAACTAACCCTATACACTCAATGGGAATTGTTGCCAATACCCGATTTATACTGGGTTCATGCATTTCTTTGAAACTTGAACACAGATGATGCACATTAAGCAGACAATCTCCTTGTTCCCAGTCCTTCCCTTTCCTTCCCTTCTCATCCTAACTATATAGGATTGTTTGTGCGAGCTCTTCCTCTTTTCTCCTTCTTTAAAAAAATATTAAACTCACTTCTCGATCAATATAGGGCCAAGAGCTATGTTTGATCCCGTCTTTAATCTTGCGGAAAACAGGCATGCCTTCATTCATCCACCCTGAGGACACGGTCTGTATATTAAAAAAAAGAGTCGTCCAAACGATGCACTTTTCCTCAATTCAACCCTACCATAATTCATTTTTTTTCTGGTACGAGGGGAAAGAGTTTCCTAAACAGTAAACAGGTAAATCTTTTTTTTCTTCATGCAAACAAAAGGTTTATTTCTTTCCTTAGACCTTCCTCTCCGTCCGCGTTTATAATATCTTCGTCACTACTTTTCATCTATACAGCCCACACAAAGTTGGGCTGAACTTCAGAATGTTTTCTCAGGGGCACCGCTTGAATACAACCCTTCCCTGATATAAAATTTATGCAGGCAACTTTTGGTAACCGGGAAAATGTGAGCAGTGTTATTCCTCTTTTCGGGCTCATTCCTCTTTTCTGGCTCATTCCGAAATTGTCGGCTTGTAGTTTGAAAGAAAAAAATCTCCAACGTCCCCCCCCCCCCCTCCCATTCAACATTTTCTAGCGACGACCTTGTACTGCCTCTACCGTATAGATCCCACGCACCATGATTATGATACCAAAATCCTACAAAATTCCCCAACGATTTCAGAGGTTCACGTGAACTTTCCAAATTATGATATCTTTGAATTCAGCCGAGAGTTTTCTTTGAAGACGTCATTAGAGCGCTGCACCCTCGCCCCCCATGACCCATCACGCACAATTCAAACAGACAAGATTTTATATTGCAATGGAGACTCTGCTTGTGATAATAAGGCAGTGGCTAAGACGAAATTTTCAGAGGGGGCAGGTTTTACTGTGAGAGGTGCTGACAAGCCCCCTCCCCCACCCCCTTCCACCATAGATGTGTCACTTTTCAGACGCTTCATTTCGTAAAAGTAAATCAGTAATCATGCATCCTCATAATAATAATAGGCTAGAAATCCAAGATCAAAATAATGGAATCCCCACTAAAAGGAGTTTTAAAGGCCGTCTGTACTAGTGTGGACAGGAGGGATTAGACCACCCAGCGAGGTCACTGACAGGTGGCTCTCTCATCAACTCAGCTCTCAATTAGCATAAAAAAGAGGATCATGGGGACCAACATGCACCGATTAGGGAGCAAATATAGCTACAAGTATAGTACGCTTTAAAAGAAAACCCACCTGGATATGATATTTATACAAACATAATGAATTTCACACGATGGATTCACGATTTGAAATCCAATTTTCTTGTTTTGAATATGTATATTTTCCTGTTATACGTTATCAAAGAAGAGTGTGTGACTAGACTTGGGCATTATCAAGTTTGGTACATGTATTACCATTTATTATGACTGAGTAACTTAAACACAAAAAAGCCTCAAATTGTCATGTTATCGGAGAGTTCTTGAAATATAGATTTGTGTGGTTTAATATTTTGTATGAATCTAGACCACTTTGACACATGCACAGAAGAAACGGATACGTATGGGAAATAATTACTGGCTCGAGATTTTACATTTAAAGGAAACTTCACCCCATGGGAAATAATTTTAGTAGTTTTGAGAGATGTATTGTATTCTTGCCCATTAGAATAATGTACATTTTCTCAGCATGACGTGGGCATCGCTATAATTATGTTCTTGATAACGTGACATACTATGCGGAGTCGTTTATCATGTAAAAATATAAGTAATTTTTTTATTTAAGGATGCTTCTTTCCCAGGTGAGTGTGGTGATTCTTTGTACTACAATAATTATTGTGAGAACGCAACATTGAATTATTAAGTTGCTGCTCTTCTAGGGTGTTGGTATAAATGAAATAAATTAATCAACTGCTATAATTATTTTAGTATTTTCAATCAAATAGGCTAGACGAGTTGCAATTGTTTCCCCTGTCACATATTTTTGACCAACTATAATTTTTCACCTTCTCGGCTATGATTTTCCCTCAATGAAAAGACAAGGTTTTGTTATTGAATTAAAAGATATTGCCAACTAAAGTTTGCCAACATGTTCAAATTCGCCTGTATAATATTAAGATACGTCACATTATCACGAAAATGCCTGCGCCAATTTGATGCTAAAAGGCATTACGTCATTAGTAATCTTCATTTACATACCTCTTGTACACTTTATTAAGGAAAAATGGTATACTAAAGGACAGTAATACATCTCATTTTTCAGAAAACCTACATGTACACTGTCTTATTATTCGGGGTGAGGTTTCCTTTTAGTTCATGAGGAGAAATTGTTAATTTCCTTGCATGATGACAATGAAGAGGGTAGCGAGGCTATAATAGCCAATCATATTTAAGTATGAAGACTGAGAACAACGAAATCAATTACTTTTATGATCATTTTTAAATTGTGTAAATATTGTATCAAATAGAAAAAAAATTACAGTGTACTATTGTACCTTGCTTTGTTATAGAGTTAAGTTTGGAGAGCAAGAACAAAACAACGTGTTTTTTTTATTACCAGTATTCTTGTTAAAATTACTGTAATAGTTAGTACTTTGTGTAGTTAATTAGAGTTGGTTGTTAGTAAATGTTAGTTAGTTGGTAGCACTGTGCCGTAGATTCGTCGATTTCAATGTCTAGATTAGTAAGAGGTGTAAGAAGCATTGTCACGAATTTCTAAAATTTCGAAATATTATATAATGTAGAATTAACGAAACCGATGAGTATATTTCTGAAATCTCATTTACAATGTAATTAAAATGAACATCATATTATGTTACATAATAATCATGGTACAGCATAGTGTCTCACTGTTTGAAATAGAGCATTGTACCCATCGAATAACATTACTCTATATTTGTAACAAAATACCTTCTTATCTATTTCCAGTTAATTTGTAACTATGCTGCATATTGACACAATTATTCATAAAATAATCACTCGATTAATTTTCTTCCTTCTTCATTTCTTCAGTCTTCCACTTTTAACCCTTTTGTCATATTGTGTGGTTCACTATAAAAAATATCAAATTGAATTTATAAAACATGTACCGGTATTGTAAAGTATGTTTAGTTACCTTTATGAAAGGTCTCAGACGTGATGATATATCCTTGCTTAATAAAATGTTGATTTTTCTTCTGTATTTATGTACTATCATTGTTTGGTGTTTTCTTTCTGTTCCGGTGTTTGTTTTGTCAGGTTTTTTTTTAGCCCTATATGTCGTTCTAAGAAAACAAAATATTCTGTTACCCTGGTAGGCCTATATCATAAATGAATAATGGGCACGTGAGCTACATCATATAGTTGCTACATACGGTCGGCAGTGCAATTACACTGATTATTGGGAATGGGATGGGAGCAGAGAAGGGAAGCAACATATAGCAAAGTATTGAGAGAGAAAAAATCGAGAAAGAAAGAGACAACTGAAAGAAATAGAAATTTGAGAGTGAGGGATGCTGAAAGAGAGAGAGAGAGACGGAGAGAGAGAGAGAGAGAGAGAGAGAGGGAGGGAAAGAAGAGAGAGTTTTTTTTGGGGGGGGGGGGAGGGTATACTAAGTGAACCCGGTTAGTGTGATTTTATAAAAATGGCATGACAATTAACGATATTGTCAAAAAAAGTATAACATCGAACTATTATTGATACAAGGAATCACTAAAGCAAAACATAGACCAACTATATTTTCAAGAAGAATAGATTCAAAGTATAATGGAATTATATATGATTAAATTATATTTCTGCATGTTTCCAAATATAATAACTGAATAACAAAGAACATATTAACGTGAGGTATAATACAAAATAGGCCTATACAAACAATAATAACTTCATATCGAAATGTTTGTTTTTACATAATGTACATTATAATAACGAAACTTAATATTTCATACGCCATAAGTGATATAGCATACGCCATAGAAATGTAAAGAATTATAATTTTATTAAGAAGATACATACTAGAAAAAGAAAGGGCATTTTAAAGGGGTGCATTCCGGATCGGTTCAATACATGATCATGAACTCCAAGTCGTAGACCTACACTTGGCATAAAGCGCACGCAACCATTCTACGTATTCTTTTGTCACTGTTACTTTCCTTTGTGTAGAATAACAACAGATGGCGCTATTTCATCTTCACAGCCGATTGCGGTTTTCGATACTTTGACAGAAACGTTGGTATCGAGAATCTCAATTTTATGCATAGAATGCTTAACTCACTGCATTAGAAATGATAAGTTGGTAAAAGGTATTTGTTTTGGAGAAACAGAAATAAAGATGATCTTATATGCAGATGACATGTCAATTTTTGTACGAGACATAAACTCGATTAATAGAATAGAGGTAATCATGGAAAATTTTAGGAAAATATCAGGACTAAAGATTAATGGAAATAAAACATTCATTTTACCCTTAGGATCTTCTGTTGGCTCTGCGACTGTGTATCCTTTTGGAAAGGAGGCACACATTTTAAAAATACTCGGTATATATTTTACATTAGATCCCAATGTGGCGGAAGAGATGAATTACAAAGAAATATTAAGCAAAATAAAGAAATTGTTAAATTGGTGGAAACAAAGAGATCTTACTTTGATAGGAAAAATTCATTTACTGAAAACATACGCATATTCAAAACTAATCTATGTAAGCTCTTTGACTCCAGTGCCTGAATGGGTTATAAAAGAAATTGATGAGATCTGTTTTAATTTTCTATGGCGAGGTAAAGACAAAATTAAAAAAAGTACGATGTATTTTGATTACAAGCAAGGAGGATTAAAAATGCTCAACTTTCAACTTTTTGTGAAAGTACAAAAAGTGATGTGGATTAAAAGACTTGTAACAGGAAACCAGAGAGTTAAATGGAAAAAGTATTTCAAATTTTTAATGAGACCTTTCGGAGGAAATCTTATTTTTTACTGTAACTATTTACCTAACAAGATCGATATACAATTACCAAAATACTATCGGGATTTAATAAACATTTGGTTAGATATGAATGATTTTATTAAAAAAGATACAACTCACAAAGGGAATGAAATTTTTTTAAATAATAGGTATATACACAATAGTGGAAAAACATACTTCAATGAAAATCTTTTCTTAAAAAATACTTATAGATTGTACCATATTATAGATGGAAAAGGAACATTAAAGTCGGAAACTTATTTCAGATGTATGGGACTAGAGGAAGAGGAAATATCAATGCTTAAAGAAATCTATGGTAATATACCAAAGGAATGGAAAATCGAATTAACAAAGAGGCAAATTTCATTTCATGATCTAAAAATAGAATTTATGTTTACAAAAAAAACATTCCAATTTGAATCGGTTTGTTCGAAAAATCTGTACAGGGCATGCATACAAAAAATGCAAGACGTCCCTGTCAGTTTTCAGAATTTACATTCATCATACAATCTGTCGGTTAAAGAAATTGAAAAGGTTTTTGTCCGACCAAGAATTAGTACTTTAGATAATAAACTAAGAGAATTTCAATTCAAATTGCTTTATAAAATTGTTTATGTCAATCGTTATTTATACAGGTTTCAATTCATATTAAGTGATAAATGCTCATTTTGTGGAAAAGAAGAGGAAACATATAGGCACATATTTTTTGAATGCGAAATGGTGAGAAAATTATGGGATCAATGTAGTGATAGTTTGGATATTCCAATCCTTAAAGATATGAGCTGGAAGGAAGTTCACATTGGATTAGACGAAATAACCGAAGATAGGCAAATGATTAATCACGTGGTTTTATTAATTAAATATTTGATATTTATTAGTAGGGAAAAAAAGAAGCCTCCAAGTATTGAAGAAATAAGAGAGAAAATATTCAAAAGTAAACGGGAAGAAAAAAAGAGTGCTACTGAACGAAATACGTTGACGCTCCACTATAAAAAATGGGAACATCTCAAGGTAAACATGGATAATATGCAAGAAAATGCAAGGGATGAGGAAAGGGGGGGGGGGCCTGCCCGGTTCACAGCTGTGTGTGATTGGCCGGTCTCGACTGCCATAGACTGCCCACGTCTTCTTGTATCGTTTTTTGTTTTTTTGTTTTTTTGTTTTGTTTTTTGTTTTTGTTTTTGTTTTCTTTTTTTTTTTGGTTTTTTGTTTGTTTTGTGTTTGTTGTTGTTGTTTTGTTTTTAACGGGGGTAGGGGATTTAACAAACTTTATTCATTCGATATAACTAAGTTGATTGTAGTCTGTACTTTGTTCCAATATGTTATAAATTATAATATGTAATAGGGATACTAGTAGCACAGAACAAAATATAGAGGGGGGGGGGGGAGGTTATAACAATATTAATTCATTCAATATAATTGAGATTACTGTATTTTGTACTCTGTAATTGGTTTCAATATGTTATATATTACAATTTGTATGAATTAATATTATTTATTGAGTGAATACAATAAAGAATATTACAAAACAAAAATCTGTACTCAGTTTTATCGGTTGTTTGAATACCCTCCCAAAATAATTAAACTACATCTATGGACACCATCTATAAACATACTGGTAATGAAATACCTTTTAAAACAAAAAACAACAACAACAACAATAACAATAACGACAACAATGACAACAAATCAGGGGCAAAAATAATTCAAAAATAAATGATGAAGGAAGAGTGAAACAATTTGTTTTCTTTTTCACAAACTAATCAAAACAATCAAACGAACAAACAAACAACAAATTTGATTAAAAATATCTTTCAATCGCCTTTTCTGCTAGGGTTTGCCGTAGGGCATGGGAACACAATTAGGGGCGGCACATGTGGCTTACTTTTTAAAGATATGAAACAAATGACAGATCGCGCCGGCCCCTATATCTGACATGTAAATAGACTGAATGGAATTCTGTTTCCATTATAAATTTTAGAATGAGATTGCTTCAATAATCAGCCTATCCGTAAACAAAAGGCTGAGAAATTTGAAGAGAAATTAACAAAGAATATGAAGACTCATAATTCTAAATGTCAAGAATGACAACAAATACTATCAAATGAAATGACCCGTTTACATTACACCATATCATTTGGCATAATGTCGAATTAGGTACTTTTTACAGTTAGTGAAAACGGTGGTGTTTGAAAAATTAAATTAAACACAACTTTAAAATTGTATCATCGATCGTCCCTGTTCCCCGTCCCCGGCCGAAAGAGTAGATCGACTTTTGCTATTCTACTTTTGAAACCTCTATATCAGGCTCCCCCTTTGAGATCGTTTTAAGTCATTTAAATGGGGGTGACCAATTACCAAATTGTTGACATGTCTACCTACTCATTAAAAAATTTAAGCTGTATTTTTACATCACTTTTGATTTTCGTTATGGCTTTTTTTAAAGAATATGAAAATTATCCTACATGTTTGGATTTTTATAACTGACATTTAATCCGACTTTGACTTTGATGGTTTCGAATACTATCTGTCGAAGCACCCCCTCCCCCCCCCCCCCCCCGGCCCCCCTCACCTCGGGCTACCGTACTATTAGTAGCATCAGAATTAAAATGGTTCATGATTCAATGACTTCAATGTTTTGTGCTCCCGGGTCCCCCTTTACAAAAATTAAACGATAATATCATCCAAACATTTGTAATGAAATTATATGGAAAACTAAACAAACAAACAAACAAACAGACACATAGAATACATAAACAAACCCTCCATCTCATCAGCGTTTCCGTGAACTCTGACCGATCGCGAGGGAACGATAATTGTCCAAAATAGACGTATCGATAAATGAATGAACAATTGCGCGCGCTCATTTGCAGCTCATCTGGTAGTTTCCCTTTTGCACGAGAATATTCGTAACACACTTACTTTCGTGCAAAAATGGCTGATTTAGAGGAGAGAGTAGACACTCCGTCACCCCTGCCTCCGGCGGTATGTATTTGTAGCATAGAATAAGACTATTATTGTAGTAATTCGATCATTTTTGGTGTTTATATTTGTCTTTGAAAATGTCGGCGTTTTTGGTGTCCTCCAATATTTCATTCATTGTCAGTGCTCGGTCCCATATGTACGTTTAAGTGTTATGTTTTAATGCGGTAACAAAAGAATGACGTGATTGAGAGCGTGAGTTAGACGCGATACCTGTGCATGTTGATGACACACTTTTTTTTTTATATTCGTCTCTGTTCTTTTCTAAAGATATACCTAGCTGCATATTTATGCTTTGTTTGTCCAATGCCCTTATTTTGTGAGACAAGTTCAAAGTTCAAGTTCAACTTGTTCAAAATCAAATTCAAAGTCAATCATCAGAATCAGATGATCATGATCTGATGATCATGGACATTGGACCAAATCAAATGTCTGTCATTATGAAATTACTGATTGAATGTAAAATGTCAGTTCTCTCCAATCTTCAACTTTATTCTTTGACTTTGTTTTCTCATGTTTCACAAACAACTTTGGTATTTCCAAGCAACACTGCCTCGAGAGTCTCCTAATGATCTACATGGCCTGGCACAGGATGAGTCGCTCATGAGATTGAAAATTTCAGCTGAAATTTTTAGTTTTACTTTTAGATTAGGGTTTTTCATGACTCGCTAACTTAAAGATAAACTTGAGTTCTGGTTAAAAAAAAAAGGAAAAAGAATTCTCACAGAATCTAACGAAACTTACACTGAATGTTCAAGATTACAAATAAATGTCATGTGCCAAACCATTTTGGAAGAAAATGTATACTGGCTGAGTAATGAGCATAGAAAGATAAGGAAATCAGGGTAGTACTAGCCCGACACCATGTGTATTGTCCCATATACATCTTTCTGTGTAAGTGATTGTTACTTTACCAAGACTCTGCCAAATTTATGATGATTTTGATGACTCACCATTACTAACATGCTATATGATCAACTGTTCTGATCCATTCCACACCTTTTCTTTCACAATGCAATCGCATTACCAGAACTCAAGTTTATCTTTAAAGGCAAAACCAATTAGTACTAGTAGTCAGTGTTCATGTGAAGTGAATCATTGATCAGCTCAGTTGTTAGAGCAGTGGTCTCGTAATTTGGTGACCCGGGTTCAAAACCAAGTCGATACGCTAGTGCTCTTTGGTAAGGCAATAATCCTCATTACCAGATCCCTCAGAGAGGATCTAAAGCCGTCGGCTGTTTGGTTGCTTACTAACAAAGTAACAAGCATTTAGATCCATCATCTATGGTTTCTTAGCAGCCAGGTAAAACAACCACCACCACAATGTAATTTAGTCTACTTACATGTGGCTGAAAACAATTCCAAAACTTTGAAATGGATATGAAAACTGCCATGGCAACTCTATTTCTTTTCAGATGTTTGTACTTTTAAATAGTTACAAAATGTACTTCCATGATTTCAATGAGAAGTGAATATATTTTTGGAAATTATATTGCATTTTGGCTCAATTGACTGAAAAAAAATTCTTACTTGATGTTTCTATTATTGTTCTGCTATCATGACCGTGTTACACGACTCATCCTTTTGAGCTTGATTGCAGGGGAAAAACACTCTTTAATTTGTTTTGCATTGAACTCTATGTAAACAGTTTTGGCTCTTTTATGACTTTCGGGGGCTAATTCGCCCCGAGCCCCTGTGTATTTTTTTCACTGCTTGATTACCATTTAGTGTTAAATTTTTTAATTGTCTGACCCTTAATGAACTTGTTTTATATTTGTGTTGTATATAATGATCAGATTACCAAAGTAAGATTCTAATCAAATTGTTATTTGATTATTTCCTGTGCAGGCTCTCAAATTGAAAATACCACCCAAGGCAGGAGGGAGTGGTGTAGGGGAAGAATATGACGAAAAATTGGTAAGTACTAACAAACTTGATTCAACCTGATTCAAAGCAGAGACAAAAAAGTAGTTATGAAGATTATTGGGGTTGATTCCTGAGCAAGAAATGATGATAATAATGATGATATAGTGCTGTGACCATGTTGTGTATCCTTTCGTGTACACATACGAAACCCCCATTACACGGATAAACGAAGGAAGAAAAAAAACAAAGCTATAGATTTTGAGTTTTCATAGAGCTGTTACTCCTCTGACAGACACTAACATGTCATGCAATTGGTATTATTGTAATTTATGGCTTAGAATAAGCTTTCCATTGATATATAATTCATTTATTTCTTATTTCAATTCCGACCTTTTCATTTCACCTTCAAAGAGGAAAGAAATATTATAAGTGCTACACAAAGTAATCCAGTAATTTGTTGTTTGTCATACTTTCAGGTCTGATTTTAACATTCTTTTTTAGTTGGAAATCATTCCTAAGTGAGAGAATATGAGTTTGTTGGAATTTGGATAACTAGTTCATAATGGGTTTAGAAATATTGGTCTAGTTATATTTCTTCCCTATCGAATATATTACTCTTTTACTCTGTTATTATTATCTGGCAATTTGTTTACACCTGCGCATCTACATACAAATGTGGCATTTTTTTCTCTCCAAGTATAGCCGACATGAGTTCTTTTCATTCCTTTTTTATCCTAACAGGAAAAGGATCGATCGTGTCGGTTTGACTTCTTGCTGCAGCAGACCGAGATCTTCACTCATTTCATGAGCACGACGAGTGCCATGAAGTCCCCGACCAGCCCCCTCAAAATCAAGCCAGGCAGACCCAAGATGAAGAGAGATGAGAAACAGAAACTCTCTGCAGTTGGAGAGTATGTCATTTTAGGGAGGAGAGATCAGGGGGTGTTTCACAAAGACTAAGATCAACTTTTAAGTTGGACTTAACTATGGCTGGCCATTCATGCCGCTGGTTGCTCTCACCATTATGGTCTTCAGATGATATTTTCCCCTCAATAATGAGGTATCATAAACTGTAGATTTGTGACCATGATTATTTTTTACGTCCCTTGAGAGACCAATGGCAGTAAATGGTGAGCGCAAACAGATGCATGAACAGCCTGCCATAGTTAAGTCCAACTTAAAGTCGATCTTAGTCTTTGTGAAACACTCCCCTGAATCCACTTGAACCTCTTGGGCAATCCTGTATAATATGTCACATACGACCTATGACATTTACCCATTTATTTCATCAGAAAATAAACAAGAGACAAATTTAAATGAGCACTGACTAATATTTCTCTCTGGTTTCACAAAATTAAATGATCATCTTAAGACATTTCTCATTTTTTTGATGAAATAAGGGGAAAAGGGACATTGAATTCATCTTTGACGCATTGCTTGGGGTCTCCCTCTTTGAGGGTGTCCAAATTTTTGTACACACTGCTTCCTTCTTTCGGATTTATGAATGGGTACTCAATATGAATTGATTTTCACTGCCGTTGAATGAACATATACTTATAAAATGGCATGGCTAGCATGCTGCCAATGAATTTAAAAGTGCACTGTATTCAATTCGGAATTTAATCAAGTGATACTCAGAAATAAACCCAAAAGATATTTGTACTCTAAACTAGAAACTTATGAGACATTAAACTTCTAAACTTTATGCTTTATTGTAGCATGAATCTTTCATGAATCTCTACCCCTCGTTAAGGTAACCAACTTTTCTCGGTTGCAAAAGTCTCTTGTTTTTCAATGTTAGATAAACATTCATTATTATACAAATAATACAGCTTCCATAATGAGGGCATTAGTAAGAAATACCAACACAAGGGTGTTTGGACTGTTTTGAAGGTACCGAGTGTGGGTAATTTTAGTAATGCCCGACAAAAATGATGTGTATTTTTTGTTTTATGAGATTATATTTTATTTGTTTTATAAAATGATGTTTTATAACATGATTTTACTATTGATCGGTCATTAGCATTTGATAATGACCGGTCGTTATCAAAATTACGCGTTGGGCAAAATAAATGCCTGGTCACGTGTACACTTTCAACCAATCATTTGATTAGGGTCCATGTCATCATCTTATAAACGTTATAATTGTTCATCGTTCCCCCTCCCCGACCGATCAGTCATCGGCACAGAAAGACAGAGGAGCAGGAAGACGAGGAGCTCCTGACGGAGTCTCGCAAGGCCACGTCAGTCATCACACAGTTTGAGGAGTCACCAAAGTACATCAAGAACGGTGAGATGAGGGATTATCAGGTCAGAGGGCTCAACTGGCTCATCTCGCTCTACGAACATGGCATCAATGGAATCCTAGCTGATGAAATGGTAGGCAGATTTCTTCACCCCTCCCCCTCCCCCTCCCCCTCCCCCCCCCCCTCATTATGAAATGAGCAAGAGGGATGTGGAAGAAATGAAAACTTCTTACAGGGATTGGGCATCTTTGCCTCAGTTTCTAAAGAATCCTGGATTTAGCTCATGCTGCAATCATAATTATAAAACTTTAGGTCAGTCAGGAATCCCATGAATTTTACAAGCCAATCGGCTGTGTGATTATCAAGATATTTATGATTGGAATTATAAATTTCAAAAACCGTTTTCCCAATGTTTTTTATAACCCTTCATTCTATTGGGTAAATGAGGTTGCTCTCACCATTTTGATCTTTAGATAATATTTTTTCCTTCAATAATGAATCATCAAAAAATGTAAATTCTGTAGATTTGTGACCATGATTTTGAACGTCCCTTGAAAGACCGATGCCAGTAAATGGTGAGAGCAAATAGTGGCATGAACAGCCTGCCATAGTTAAGTCCAACTTAAAGTCGATCTTAGACTTTGTGAAACACCCCCCTGGAAAGATTTGTTCATGTACTACCCACTCTTTATTTTCTCTTTACTTTGTATAATTATCTGCTGGCATTGGAACCCAGCTTTTGAAAGGCCAATGGCCTTTGCTGGCTCCTCCATATTCTTTGTATTGTTTATATATTTTCTTATATGTATAATATATTGTTGAATGCATTTTTTACGAGAATTGGAAACAAAATGAATGAAATAGAAAACATCAGCAATTACATTCCGTGATCTCCTCTTCTTTACAGGGTTTAGGTAAAACGCTTCAGACCATCTCCCTGCTGGGCTACATGAAGCACTACAGGCACATCCCCAGCCCCCATCTCATCATCTGCCCCAAGTCTACCCTCGCCAACTGGATGGCCGAGTGTGAACGATGGTGCCCTTCGCTCAGGGCCGTCTGCCTGATCGGTAACCAGGACCAGAGGGTGAGTTCAAACACAATGAAGCAACACGTTTGTTAAACTCTGGCAATCTGTACATTCCACCCTGTGTTCACAGCTAGCTTGAATTCTTGAGTACCGTAAATCTCCGTGTATAAGGCGCACCTGTGTATAAGGCGCACCCCTATTTTTTTCATTTTTTGTTGTTGTTGTTGTTTTGTTGCCGAAAACCCATGCGGGGAAGGACCTTCATTTAACATCGAGGTGCAGTCAAAGGCGCTGATTTGTGCTTGTAAACTTGTCACAAATAATAGTAACAATGTCGTTTTTAGAAGAATGTGTAAGATCATTAATGTAAATTAAGAACAATAAAGTACCTAGGTCCTTGGATAGAACCTTGTGGTACACCATTTGTTATATACAAAAAATTGAGGAATTATTATTATACACTACATATTGAGATCCATTAGAAAGATTACTTTCAAACTAAGATGACAGACAAATTTTAGTGTTGTTGTAGTTTCCGAGTGGTGAGTCAACACTGATTACTGAGCTGGGAGACATTGCCAGGCATAGCGCCATAAATCAAAAATAAAAAAAAAAAAAAAAAAAAAAATTCTGTACCTGTGTATAAGGCGCACCCCCGACTTTCAATTTTTTTCAGCGGCAAAAAATTGCGCCTTATACACGGAGATTTACGGTATGTTGCTTAAATTTGAAAAACATTCTTCATGATAACCACAACAAATTATCAGATGCCACCAAAGTCTACTCATTGTTAAGCATCAAGTGTACATACATGCTTATTTTGCCAAGGTTATTTCTGTTTTACAAGGACCAGTATGAAACAAGCTACCCCAGGGCCATGTTTCATAAAACTTGTTATCAATAAAAAAAAAATGGCAATAACTGTTATAAGCTACTGAAATCATTGCATTTGCCTGGATGAGAGCAAACTTGTTATAGAGATGTTACACTAGTCTTGTTATTGATTTTAAACAATTATGAAACGGAGGCCAGTATTGTGAATATGTTGTAATCGTCTTTCTTTCCCCGCAGTCCGCCTTCATCCGAGATGTAATGATGCCTGGAGAATGGGATGTCTGTATAACATCGTACGAGATGGCCATCAGGGAGAAGTCTGTCTTCAAGAAGTTCAACTGGCGCTACCTGGTGATCGACGAGGCTCACAGGATCAAGAACGAGAAATCTAAGGTATGTTAACCTTTTGACTACTGCATTCTTTGATTCCCATAGGCTTAACACAAGAGCCACCTGTTTCCAGGGGTCAATGGGTTCATAGGAGTTTCTAGAGCGATCCAGCTCCTGCTGTGACATTCATGTGCTTTCTTTGGTCAAATACTTACCTGCTTTAGTGACCACCTGTCTACAAGACCACGTTTTTGTTTCCCTTCAAAAATGGTTTCTCATTGAAACATGTACTAAAGGAGCCTGTAACATATAGACCACCTGCCTATAAAGATCACTTTTCTTGTCTCCCTTGGATGGTCTTTATAGATAGGTTTCACTGTACTTATGTTAGGGTTGCAGTAGGCCATTTTCCTTATGTAACCAAATTTATGCTAAAGTGCCTTAATATGAATTATTTTACTTGCCCTACCTAGCAATAACTAATTTATGCAATTTGAATCCAGGACCATTGAGATACATTTATTTGTAACTTTCCACGATATTCTCCAACAGTTCTCCAATATATATGAGCTCACTTTCACAGCAGTAAGCCTTTATTTTAAACTTACAATGGCTAAATCTTTGTTCCATGCCAAATTTTATGACAGAATTCCATGACTTAAATGACAGTATAATATTTCAAATCGTTCACCCCGTCTGTCGTGCAGCTCTCTGAGATTGTCCGTGAGTTCAAGACCACAAACCGTCTCCTCCTGACCGGGACACCCCTTCAGAACAACCTCCACGAGCTGTGGGCTCTACTCAACTTCCTCCTTCCTGATGTCTTCAATTCTTCGGAGGACTTTGATGCCTGGTTCAGCACCCAAGATTGTCTAGGAGATAACAGTTTAGTCACAAGGTTGCATGCTGTGAGTACAAAAGGGAATTTGCTTCTTGTGCTAAATCCAAAAAAGGGAATAATGACATTTAGATATACATTTTTTTTTTACCGGAAATTTTTTATGATAAATGCATAGCTGCCAAGGTGACAAACATGGCGTTCAAAGAAATATGAAATGCTTTGTTTCTTTTTCTTTGTTCTGAAACGAATTCTGGCAAATATCCGGTAACAATTTATAGTACCGGTACATCTGCAATTTTCACATTCCATGAAATTGTTTGAAGTCATTTGAAGATAATTTCAGTGCCTTTTATCCATTGGAAAGTCACAAAAGGAACCAAGTGTAATTATTACCATCAATATCACATTAATTATAAATGTTTACATCACAGTCATGAAAGAATGAATGAATGACACATAAATAGGAAAGGGAATTTTATAAAGCAGATTTGTTCAACATGTTGATGATAGAATTGCTGAGGTTTGTTTGCAATGCAATGAAATATATTTGTTTTGAATATTTGTAATAAAGGTTCTGCGGCCCTTCCTGCTCCGACGTCTAAAGTCTGAGGTGGAGAAGGCCCTTCTCCCTAAGAAAGAGACCAAGATGTACGTTGGTATGAGCATAATGCAACGAGAATGGTAAGTCCAAATAAAATAGGAATAAAGTTTTGTAACAAGGCCAGTTTTGAGTAACATGTACATATCGGATAAGTTCATTCCATGGGTAATATAATTTCCACCATGAACATGAAACAAATTTTAAACTTTAAAAAGAACCTTGATAACATCTTTTATAAGGAAACAAAGAAATGTATCATTGTCTATATGTATGATTCAAAGTTTTTTTAAGGTCGTTTGTATCTATAAAATTCATGGTTCTAGGACAAATTCCCCCCCCCCCTCCCCCATTTGCCAAGCGAATAGCAAGCAAGCTTTGATATAAGAAAGGAAAGAATTCGTACAAAAAATAGCAAATTCTAGGTCCCTTTAGCCATTCCCTTGTCCAAGACGATACAAATTTGTCATGGCTTTTCTGCCTCTGTGACTGGCCGAAGTTCACTGCTCCTAAAACTGTCAATGCGGAAGGCTCATGATAGATTCTATTGTGTTGACCGTAACAAGGCATTTCAATAAAAACATGTTTATTACGGTATCGGATTTACAACAAGATTTTTTATGTAAGTCATTGATGTCGTCAACGGACTACAGGGCATGTTACGGCATTTCTACCCAAAACATATTTACTATGCTAATGTAAGTACACCAAGAAGATGCTAATAAAAGTCATTGATGTTGTCAATAGAGCAGGAAGTTTGTACAAGACAGCATCTTTGAGGCATTTTTACCCAAAACATATTTATTATGGTCTTGTAGGTACACCAAGATCCTCATGAAAGACATCGATGTTGTCAACGGAGCTGGAAAGTCAGACAAGATGCGGTTGATGAACATCCTCATGCACCTGAGAAAGTGTGGGAACCACCCATACCTGTTCGACGGAGCAGAGCCTGGCCCGCCCTACACGACGGACAAACATCTTGTGGAAAACTCTGGAAAGATGTCGGTTCTTGATAAGCTCTTGCCAAAGCTGAAAGAGCAAGGTGAGTACTATTTACCAGCCATCAAAATATTGGGGTTTTTTTCTCCATAGACTCTTAATTGTGTTGAGGTGTCATGGTAAAGTGGTTAATTCACTTGACTCTCAATCCAGGGGTCAAGGGTTTGAATTCCAGGCCAGTACAGACGTCCATCAGGAAAACGTTAATCCACATTTGCCTCTCTCCACCCAGGTGTTAAATGGGTACCTGGGTAGGATGTGAAAAAGACATTGTAGATTGCTCAGGGTTGTGAGCATCTGTAAAATAACACCCAGCTGGAATGCCCCCCAGGAATTGGACAATGTACATAAATCATGTGCGGGCAAGCCTGAAACCCGATGACCAGGGTAATAATACATCAGTAAAGTGTTTAGAGACATCGTTGATGTATGAAGCACTACATAAGAACAAATCAAACGAATGTGAATGAGAGTATGGTCGTGGTAGCACACAATTTTACACTGATATTAGTTTGATTCTGTCCTGTGAGCACGGAGCTACTAAAATCTTTTCCTGTTTCTAGGTTCTTGCGTGCTGATCTTTACATACGTACGAACAGAATATTGTCAGTATTATTAATTGTTCCGAGCAAACGAATGTGATTCAGAGTATGGCCGTGTGAGCAACATCATTTACACTGTCAGATTTTTTATTCTGTCCTGTGAGCTCGGAGCGTTCTGGTTGAAAAGTAGAGTGGTTTAAGGTGCTTGACTGGAGATGCGAAGGTCGAGGGTTCGAATCCGGTCACAGCACTAATATCCTTTGGCAAGATATCAACCTGCACTTACTACTCTCCACCAAGGTGTTAAATGGGTACCCAGTAGGACGGGACCGTCATTGTTGGTCAAACAGTTTATGAGCGTCAAGTAACACCTTGCTGGAATTCTCCCCAGGGAGGGAGATTGTGCACACATTGTGTGCAGGCAAGTATTGAATCCAATGACTGGGGTAATAATATATCTGTAAAGGGCTTAGAGACATTATAGATGTATTAAGCGCTATATGAAATTATCATTATTATTATTATCATTATTATTATTATACTAAAATCTTGTCCTGTTTGTAGGTTCTCGCGTGCTGATCTTCAGTCAGATGACGCGTCTCCTGGATATCCTTGAGGATTACTGCGTGTGGAGGGGTCATAACTACTGCAGGCTCGATGGACAGACTCCCCACGCCGAAAGACAGGTTAGTAGATATTATTACCTGTAAGAGGTCACTGTTACCTTGCAATTAAAATGAATATTTTACCCGGTCCGCCGACGATTTTTTGTGGTATCTCCCTAAAGGCCAATCATTATTATATAGATCTATATCTCCTTTGGTTATTTCTCTCTCTGTAGAGTTATGGCCCCTTAGGTTGGGCATTTGGAGTTTTACCACATATTCAATGGAGATGTTGATTGCAAGCAACCAAAATACCCTTGGATGCATCTAATATATTTTGGAGGATACTTCCTTTGGTGACATGCTCTGCCAACGAGACACTAGACCGACTCCAGATCAGATAAAATATGACATTACCCCGATTTGTTGGTCTGGATTCGGTTTGGGGCCTGTTTGGCAGTGTGAGTGAGGCGTGATATGCTCTTTCCTTATTCCTTAATGTGTTCATTTTTATCACAAGTAACATGCCCTTTTCATTACATTATTTGTACATAACCCCATTCACACTCACATTGCCCATGCCTTGTTCACACTCACAGGAGAGCATCAATAACTTCAACATGCCAGACAGCGAGAAGTTTGTGTTCCTGCTGAGTACCCGAGCGGGTGGTCTCGGAATCAACTTGGCCACTGCTGACATTGTCGTCCTCTACGACAGCGATTGGAATCCCCAGGTCGATCTACAGGCCATGGTGAGTTCACAGTAGTAGACATCTAAAGCTCCATCAATTTGTAATCTTAAAGCCCCACTGCACTTCTTATAGCTACTTGCGGCCTCTATATAGCAAAAAATGCGTAAGTGGTGACCGTTGGTCCCCCATGGTCCCCTTTTTCTAATATTAATTGAGAGCTGATTTGATGAGATAACCACTTGCCAGTGACCTTGCAGGGAGGTCTAATCCCTCCATGCCAAACTAGTGCAGAGGGACTTTAATGCGGCTGTAAGCTCTAGAAAATATACATTTTGCTATACTGCACAGCAGGCATTAGTGAATTTCACACCTGCAGTTTTGACCAATCAGAGGCCTAGAATCTTGGTTTGCAGTACATGAATAAAACATTTGTTTCTTTCACATCGATAGGATCGTGCGCATCGTATCGGCAAAATATACATTTTGCTGTACTGCACAGCAGGCATTAGTGAATTTCACACCTGCAGTTTTGACCAATCAGAGGCCTAGAATCTTGGTTTGCAGTACATGAATAAAACATTTGTTTCTTTCACATCGATAGGATCGTGCACATCGTATCGGCAAAATATACATTTTGCTGTACTGCACAGCAGGCATTAGTGAATTTCACACCTGCAGTTTTGACCAATCAGAGGCCTAGAATCTTGGTTTGCAGTACATGAATAAAACATTTGTTTCTTTCACATCGATAGGATCGTGCGCATCGTATCGGTCAGAAGAAGCAGGTTCACGTTTTCCGCTTCATCTCGGAGAACACCGTGGAAGAGCGCATCGTAGAGAGGGCAGAGATGAAGCTTAGACTGGATAACATTGTCATTCAGCAAGGTAGGTAGAAGAAAGGAATAGTTCACCCCAAAATTGATTGGAATCAGGGTTCCCAGAGTCATGGATAAAAGCCTGGAAATCCCCTAAAATTATGAAAATGGTGAGGGATGGTGGAGGCCATCACAAACAAGACATATACAGTCAAACCTGCTTTAGTGACCACTTGTCTACAAAGAACACTTTTTGCGTTTCCCTTGGGCGGTCGCTATAGACAGGTTTGACTGTATATATCACTGCGTAGTATTCGTACACTGCTTGGATTCTTGTGGGAACCCCGTTAGTGAAGTTTAGAACGACATATTGCATCCAGAAGCTCCCAATCCATTATGAATACGGAGAAACTGAAATTGATCAAAGAGCATCAGTGCTAAGGTATCATGCTTTGAGATAAGAAAATGAGTCTTGGCTGAACCCTTAAAGGGCCAGGGCAGAATCCACCCACCCACACCCCTCCCTAGGATATGTATTTTTTTTGCCACAAACTTTTATGACTTTTTGGCCTAGAGAGTCTTATGTATCTATTGAAACTCCCACCTCTCTCCCTTTGAGTGGGAGAGCTGAAAAACAGCCTGTTTATGATCAAGCTGAGTGCAGTGATTCTCTCTCTTGTGCTGATATACAACAATTTAAAAACAATTCTATAGTATTCATGTATCTTTAAGACAAAAATTGTATCCAAGTTGCACAGTCAATGAGTATATAACACAGGTTTGTTGGTAACTTATGTGCTTCTGGTTGTTGTATTCCCTGTTTTAGCTAATGTGCATTTTCATCCAAATTTCAACAAGTGCTCATTTTTAAAAAGTACCTAATTTGCATGTGAGCAAAAAGTAGCTCATGGTCATGTGATTATCAATCAACCAATCACATTACTTGGACCTATTTCCCGATATTTATCTAACATTTTAAACCACATCTTCTCACCATACCCATCAGGACGACTCGTTGACTCTAATCTGAAGTTGGACAAGGACCAGGCCTTGGAGATGATCCGTCATGGAGCCAACTTCATCTTCTCCTCCAAGGACAGCACCGTGACTGACGAGGACATTGACCTCATCCTGCAGAAGACGGAACAGAAGGTAAGACCAGGGTGCTGTCCCCAATGACACTTAACCCCCCCCCCCCCCCCCCCCCCTGCGAAAAAAACAAAAAACAACAGTAGCAAACTAAAATGACATAATAATAATAATAATATTCGGTTTTGTAAAGCGCTCATATAAGTCATATTTGACACTCCTTGTGCTCCCGATTATTACCCTGGCTTTAGCTATGGCAGGGGATTTATGCCCTTAAAAAGTCTTGAACCAGACGTAAAATTAGAGGAAAAAAAACCTTTAAAATTATGATCTTTAGATAATGTTTTTCCTTCAACAATAAAGTATTAACAAATGTGAATTCTGTAGATTTGTGACATCCCTTGAGAGACCAATGGTGAGAGCAACCCGTGGTATGAATAGCCTGCCATAGTTAAGTCCGACTTAAAGTCGATCTTAGTCTTTGTGAAACACGCCCCAGAACTCGTGCTTTAACCTCTCTTTGAACCACTGTTTTGAATCTCACCAGACGACCAAATTCAACGAGAAGCTCAACAAGATGGGAGAGAGCGGTCTGCGTAACTTCAGCATGGACGCCCCCAGCAAGAGCATCTTCTCCTTCGAAGGAGAGGATTACAAAGAGAAGCACAAACAAACCGGTATCAACTGGATCGAACCGCCCAAGAGAGAACGCAAGGCCAACTATGCCGTGGATGCTTACTTCAGAGAAGCACTGAGGGTCAGCGAACCCAAGGCACCAAAGGTACGTCCGATTTGTTTGGGGTGCATTTTTTGGGGTGGGGGGGGGGGGGGGGTAGCAAATTTTAGGAGTCTGGATTGAGGACAAAGGGACTCGATCCTTTTCAATTTGATAAGAAGTGCAGACACCGGAGTGTTGGCTCAGTCAGTAGAGCGTCCGCCTCACAACCGGGAGGTCGTGGGTTCGAACCCCGGCCGCGTCATACCAAAAGACGTTAAAAGGTGGGAGTTGTTGCTACCTTGTTTGGCGTTCAACAATAAGGGATAGAGCAACGTCGATCTGGCGCTGCTCAGTGGCTGCCGGGCTCACGATCAATTGGGCAAAAAGAATTTCCGTTTCGGTTTAATAAAATTTGGAGTGGACTATTAGGCTATTATTATTATTATTATAATAGCAACATTTGTATGGGTGTATGTGCACTGATTTGTGCGTAAGACTTAACAAAATAAGTGGCCTAGATTATACAATATAGAAATGGATTTGATGTAGTTGCATCAAGAAAGAAGGAGCAGTGAGGAAAAAGGGTAATTCAAGCTGTTAAGTGTTCTATCAGGATGGCTGCTTCCTCTTGACCTCTTTATTTAAAGGATTAAGGATTTCTTTAGAGGACCTATAATAATTTGCTATCCATAATTTTATTTTGAGTAGTGCCCCAAGGGAGAAGGCACTTATGAGAAAAACAGAAATTAATGATATTTTTGTACACAACAGATGGGAGAGTTATCCACAGCTACCTCACAATCCACTGACCAAACTGCCAATTTAAGATTCGCATAGGCTTTATAGGGAACTTATATTTCAAACATTCATAAGTTTCTTATTATTGGTTCAATTTATTTTAGACTTTCAACATTAGGCCTGAATACAAATATGTTGTATTGCCCTTTGGGACCGACCCGAAAATGTTGAAATCTATGGTCAGCTTAAAAAAAAAAAATGTTTTAAAGCATTCAAAACTGAGAAATATCAGCACAAAGAGGGTGTTTATCTTATTTTTCTTCTTTAATACAAATGAACTCATTTCCATAGTTGGATTGCCCTTTAACACGATTGATAATTTTGTCATCCCTCCAGGCCCCAAGACCACCCAAGCAACCTAACGTGCAAGACTTTCAGTTCTTCCCACCACGCCTCTTCGAACTTCTGGACAAGGAAATCTATGCCTACAGGAAAGGCATCGGATACAGGGTATGTGTACGGCAGCAAGATAAAGCAATCAGTATTTTTCATAGCAAGTGCTTGCATTGCATTGCATATGTGCAGTAAGAATTTAGTCCTTTTTGGTGTTATAGTATGTATTGTCTGCTTTGGACTTTCTCAATTTTATGTGCTATCAAAGAAATTAAACAATTGTATCGTAAATGCACTATTTGGAGCATGCTTATTTCCCTCTATTGCACCTACCAAATTCCTTGAGTCCACTTGTTCAGATTAACATTGAGGTATCACTTACCATATTGTACAATTTGGAATCCTTAACCAGTTGTCTACACATCTTATATGACAAGTTGAAAGCTTGACAAATCTCTTTTTTCTCTTTTTTTCCTCTCTTTTATATTTTCTGAAAGTCTTCTATTTTTGTTTGCGTGTTTGTTAGTTATGGTTTGTTATTAAGATCGCTTGTTGGTACCTTCTCAAGGAAAATGTGCCCTTGGTATTGCTCTTTATGAAATCCCCCCCCCCCCCCTGGATTTAGCACCAATAGTATTAAGCACTGGCGAGAATCCAATGTTCCCATCCCTGTTCCCGAATCACATCCATAATTCACAGGTGCCTCTGAACCCCGACGTATCCGACGCCTCCAAGGTCCGCAAGGAAGAGCAACGCAGGATCGATGACAGCTGTCAGCTGGATGAAGCTGAGATCCAGGAGAAAGAAAGTCTACTCACTCAGGTATGACCCTACATTTGCTCTGATGAAAATGGCTTGAGGCTTATTTTGACAATGACTTTAGGCTTAGGCTTAAGGTTGGAGTTAGGGGTAGGGTTGCTGTCAGGTTTCAGATTGGTCTTAGGGTAGTAAAGTAAGAACATAGTCGTAAAACTGGAAAATGATATAATGGCTTGCTTGGCTAAAGCTGAGATGATGATAAAACTTGTCACCCACTTGATGTATCCTCAAGAAAAGGTGCTTCATGAATCTTTTCAAAAATTACAAAATTTTCAAAATCCTTTTTAATAAATCACACACATTAGAAAGCACAAATGCAAATTTCCATATGTAGGACTAGTAGTTAAAAGTAACATTTGTTACCTTCGATGTACAGATGTCAGATATTTATTCAACATAAACGACCCTCTTCAGATTCCAGAATAATACTTGTTTTTGCAAAGTACTATAACTTATTAGACACCATAAACGTGTTTTCTGTTGATTCATTACATAATTCATGATATTTATTTTTTATTTGTAACATTTTTTTGACTAAATATACATTTTTCTTCATCTCGTTTTTGAAGGGATTCACTGACTGGAACAAGAGAGATTTCAACCAGTTCGTGAAGGCATGTGAGAAGTTCGGCCGCGATGATGTCGAGAGCATCTGTCGGGACGTAGAGGGCAAGCCACAAGAAGAGGTGAGATACAAATTCATTTCTTCTCTCTATCATCATCAGTTTGGTTCTGTAAATCATATAAATGTTGGCATCTATTGGAAAATGATTAGTGTATTTAATTACTGGCAGAAATAAGTAACTACCTTTCTTATATGCACAGCGATTGTCAACGATTTGAAGCCGATTCTGCTTATATTCTGACTAGAAGAGTTCAATGCATCAGTTACTATATTTATCATTATTTAGAAGCTAAGTCAGGAAGATGATCTTTGTTTAGAATTCCTATCTAACAGTTGCCATTTCTTTGAATCCTTCGGATCGCAGGAAGGTTGTGTTGTGTCTGATAGACTTTAGATAGCACAAGATACCATCATCAAGACCCCACTTTTGTTGCAATAAAGAGGGTTAAACTTCTTATATTTGGTTGTTTCAGAGAGTTCATACAATAAGAGAGAGGGCACTCTTAAGTAGTTCAGAAGCTAAAGGGTTAAGTTCATAAGGGTGGAAGAGGGTTTTAGAGTCGGCCTGTAATATGGTTATTGATATTGGTTTTATGAAAGACCATTCATGTCTATATGATTTCTGAAGACAGTGACATTTGCAAGGGTTTACAGACAGCTTGAGTGAAGTAGATGTGACAAAGCTACACCCAGTATTTTCCTTGTTTGGATAATGTGGCTCTAAGTCAAAGAATTAAGAAGAAATGTGGAAGGATATAATTATCTTTGCTTTCTAGTAGGATCAGTAAATTTGTGTCTTTAATGTAACTGTAATTTTCTCAAATGTTTGATGGCTTGTTATGCAGTAGAAACTTTTTTTTTTGGTATAAATACATGTGAAATATTGTATCAAACCATATTATGTTCATGAAAATGTAATGATGAAGAAAAAAAAGATGCAGAAAGCAGTAAACTAAATCAAATCAAATTATGTTCTTTATTAGGTGCGTGAGTATCTGAACGTGTTCTGGGAGCGCTGCAACGAGCTCCAAGATGTGGACCGCATCATGGCTCAGATTGAGAGAGGAGAGTCCAAGATCCAGAGGAAGATTGGTATCAAGAAGGCTCTAGATGCAAAGGTAATAATATTGATGACAGTGGTGGTGACTTATTATTTCACACTCGGCATAGTCAATATTCCAGTTTAGTTTTGAAGTGTAACATCTTTAGTGGTGATTTTTCATTGATTTGACTTTGCATGCAATGTGACACAGTTCCTAAATATGGTAAATGTACATTTTTGTATTTTTTTTTTTAATGATTCTGTAACTTCTTAAAAACTCAATGCTGCTCATGTTATAAATTATGAGTACCCGGTAGGGGAAAACTCTGTAAATGTTAGATGAAAAGGGCTGACCGTAGTAATCGGCCCATTTATAATGTTATTGGAAATACACCTAGTGTATGTACATACAAAGTCTGAAAACAAAACTTGTTACTGTCATACACATACTATCATACAGTTAATAAATAAATTATTCATACCCTTTCTAATTTTTTAAATATTTTTAAGTATATGAAAAATGTAATTGTCCCAATTTGTGTTTCTTGAGAATTTTACATATACATACATATGCATGTACATAATTCAAACGATCCATGTTTCATTCTTGAGTTAAGTAAAAAAATAAAAAAAACACCAACAAAAATAAAAAATACAAGGGGTATGAATAATTCAGTTGGAGTTGGTATCTTGTATGTCAACAAGGGAATCTGTTATCACTATTTCCAAGGGCACAATAAGAAGTACAGTGCCTTTCATGTACGTTCCGTTGTGATGTTCTTCTAGGTGAGTACTAAAATCTGAATATCTCTATCATTATCCCTTTCGTAGATGGCTCGTTACCGTGCACCGTTCCACCAGCTCCGCATCCAGTACGGAACCAACAAGGGCAAGAACTGGACCGAGGACGAGGACCGGTTCCTGGTCTGTATGCTCCACAAGCTGGGCTTCGACAAGGAGAACGTCTACGACGACCTGAGGAGTGGCGTCAGACAAGCCCCGCAGTTCCGCTTCGATTGGTTCATCAAGTCTCGTACAGCCATGGTGAGTGGAATTGAATCTCTTGCTAGCAGTCTTTAATATTTGTAAAATTTCCCAAGCTCTTTGGAAGCGCATAGATATGTTATATAATGTGATATGTGCTATACGAGAACCAAATATTATTATATTCCTCTGCTCCTGAAAGTACAGGGCAATATGTTTTTGTTACTTTTTGCCCATCTGTTTTGCATTGTTCCTGCTTTTTGTCACTGACACAGCCATGGTAAGTGGAATCGAATCTCTTGCCAGCAGTCTTTAATATTCCTCTGCTCCTGAAACTACAGGGCAATATGTTTTTGTCACTTTTTGCCCTTCTCTTCTGCATTGTTCCTGCTTTTTGTCACTGGCAGACGTGAAAACTGTTGCAGGAATTTAAATTAATCTTTTGTCAAGAATGTATAATTACAGAAGGATGAAATAGATAGATTTTTAAAGGAAAAGGCTGTATCTAAAAATAGTGAGCATTTGTTATTTTAAAAATTAGAAAATTGGGAGAGTTATGGATTATGATTTTCAATGAAGTATCCGGTCATGTGCTTCAAAGTTCACTTAAGTTCCTTCTTTTTAAAAAAAAGTCTTTCCAGCTGGGAACAGGGAGAAAATGTGATATTTACACGTTGGAATGTCCTGTCAACACCCTACCCTGTTAATCACATAGTATATTCAGGATTCCAGAAAGTAATTTACTTCTACAATGTAAATTCTTTAATGACTGTACAAATATTGTTGACCTTTCAGGAGCTACAACGTCGCTGCAACACCTTGATCACCCTGATCGAGAGAGAGAACCAAGAGCTTGAAGAGAAGGAGAAGGTGGATAAGAAGAAGGGCAGAGGAGGCGGTAAAGTAACTGGCAGGGTAAGTGTCACACCCATCTCTGTTCTACTCAAAAAAAGAAGAACCAGCAAATGATGTAGATAATACTCCTTAAAGCGTATCTGCACTAGCTTAGCCAGGAGGGATTAGACCACCCTCCGTGGACACTGGCAGGTGGTTATCTCATCAAATGAACTCTCAATTAAAATAAGAAAAAGGGGATCATGGGGGAGCAACAGGTACCGCTTTGACATTGTTGGCTATATAGAGGGCTCAAGTAGATACAAGTAGTGAAGTCCCGCTTTAAATATAGAGCTTAATAGGGGACTTTCCGTGGAGAATTTAACACCATTCAATTGTTTACCAAATAACAGGTGTTGTCACACACTAGGATTAGCCTTTGGTTTTATGAACTCTATTATAGATATTGAATTTGAATTTTAGAATAGACATTTATTTAGTTATTCCATACACAATGCACACTCTCCACACAACTGCAGAGCATCAAAGCCATTCACCTTGTGCAGATATTGTAGTATTAAAAACAAAGAAATAATAGCACCCTATCGTACTTCGGGGTAGAGAGAAGAAAGAGACGAATTTAAAGCAGTCCTGAATCTGGCCGATTTAATTTTTACGATCTCCACCAACGCAATGCGATCTTCCCCCACTAACTTGCGGCCAGCCGAAGATGGCGTGATCCTAGAATTTTGTTGATATCGCCATTTTCGGCAACTTGCAGCAAGTGTAGGGAATATTGTAGAGATAAAAGTATAAGAAACCAGCCAGATTCTGGACTAATCATAGATTGCTTCCACCCCCCCCCTTCTCCCCTTTCACCTTGCATACTTAATTGTAGAGAAACTATTAACTGTTCAAAAATAAGGGGGGGGGGGTCTTGCAGCCTCTGAAAAAGATCAGTGTTGTTTAGATTAAACCTCAACCTCTACCTCTAGACTACAATAGTTCTACCAGCCACTAATCCTTCTTGTTTCTCTAACTCTATTCTACATTCACAGGGTAGCATGGGCACACCTAAGACTGAGAAGAGAAAGGCTGACGATGACACCGATGGTAGAGGTCGCAAGAAGAACAAGAAGTGAATCCACCCAGACCTAGATGTATATACCCAGCCATGAGACCTTGAGAAAAACCACAAGTGAAAATCAAATACCTGTGAAACAGTTGAGAATGAGGTGCTCTCAGTCTCGACACCTGGGGAGCGTTTCACAAAACTTGTCATCAGTGACAAATTACAGTTTTTGTTATAAGCTACTGAAATCCTTGCTTCTGATTGGATATCAGCAGATTTGTCACTGATTCTTGTCATTTGTCATTGAAAATGGCTTTGTGAAACAGGCCCCTGTCCTCAGCTTAACTTAACGTAGTTTTGATTCTACTTGTAGTTTTGGCATAGGAACCCCTGGACTCTACTATACCATCAATACCGATATTTAATAGAATACATTCCTTATACTAGTGATGTCATGATTGCCTTGAGTAAAGTCATTGGAAACCATTACAGTCATCATGGTATAACTATGCCGTGGATGATGACCAAATGAATTGATTGTACAGTATATTGCGATGTAAGAAAATGGGTAGCATAGCAAAAGTAGAGTAATGTCCAAGCTGAGGCCGTGATTTTTTCTGCAAAGCATTTAACACTGATTTAAGGCCCCTCTGGTCCTTATGTATTGATTAACTACATGTATATTTATTCATTTGAGTAGAAAAAAACTGTAAAATAAAATGCATGAGTGATGGACGTCTGAATATTTAAACATTTTGTAAATAGTGCTAGTTTGTGATAAAACAATGTGAAGAGTACAAAAGTAAATCTTGAGGGCGAAGCAGTGCTTATTTTGACAATTTTGTTTGAAGAAAAAAAAAGATTTACAATATTGGTGCATCAATAATAATAGTCCACGACTGTGACAGTGATATAGTGCAGACCACAGTTATGCAGCAAGTGTAATACAGTTCAATTGGATTGTTGAATTAGATTGTGACTCCGAAAATATCAGTTCAGTAAATTCCTTTTTTCAATATCACAATGGTGTATTCGTTGAAGTTTCATTTTATGAATCAATTATTGCCAACACTGTGTTCCATCTGAGAATGTAAGCATTGTGTAACCAATTAGTAAATGACTAAACTATTCTGAATGTGTTTGTGGCTCACACGTATTTAATTAACTCTATTCTTGTCTTGTTTAGTTTCTCCTTATGATTGAAAGTAACAGGATTATGTATTCAATTTGATATAGATCATAATCTCATATGAATTATTTGCCATTTTCAGCTTGTATGTACAATTGTATAAGACTGCATAATCACAAAATGCTTCTTCTTTTTTTTTGTGAAGAAGATTTTTTTATGGGGAGGTTTTATTTGACAACTGTTTGATGATGACCCTGATACTCATGATTCAATCAACATCATCATTTATTGAAGTCAACACTTCCCCTCTTACGAGGGGTTACTGACTTTTATGCCATGATGACACTTCCTCCCTCCCTCCTCTTCTAACAGGATAAGTATGAACGATTCTTGCATTGTACATGTACTCAAGCTCAAACACATGATTCTTCTTTACAAAATATATAACTGCAGTAGAAACTCGTCTATTGAGGCCATCGGAGGAAAACAGAGATAGTGGCTACTGAAGACAGGTGGCCATTCTAGGAAGTTCTTTTTTTCCTCAAGGGATGCAAAATGCACAGCTACTATAGAAAAGTGGTCTCTATATAAAGGTGACCACTGAGGCAGGTTGACTTTGATTGTATTTCTGTTTTTGATTTCAAATGACATTATGAAGCCATCAATTCCTGAATAAATTCAATGATTAATAATCTACAGAATTACTATGTTATTATTAACCTTGTATGTAGTCGCAAATACTTTGTTTCGGTCACATATTTTTTGTAATCAAGTTCATTCAGACTTTAAAACAGACATCTCTTTGTTTTCGTTGTTTATTTCACTGACCTCACATATTTCAGCAGAAGAAATCACCTTTTTCCAGCGTTAACTATCTGTGTAGCACTACATGTACAAGAAAAATATTTTTGTTGCATAACCAATACAGTGTAAAACGTCTACCAGTAATTTAAGTTATGCTTTGATTCTTCAAAGAAAGTTTAATGTGATTTTTTTTCTTTGTTTTGTGTACTGTCTTTGCATTAAAATAAAACTATTTTCAGTGGGTAAAAATTGATCTCTGTATTGCATTTTTTATTGTTTGTAGATTTATAAAATTTATATCATCATCATTCTTACCGGTATATGCAGTGTTCAATATTCTGCGTATTGTTTTCACTCTCTCTCTCTCTCTCTCTCTCTCTCTCTCTCTCTCTCCCCCCCCCCCCCCCCCCTGCTTAAATGGTCATTTTACCTCAGATTACAGGCAAATAATAGCTAAACTCTTAAAAGAGTTTTAAGAATGTATTTTTATGTTTAGTCAAAACTTATTATTGCCTAGTGATGATTTGCCCATTGTCAAAGTTTGCATATGAGGCTAGTGGTTGGCAAAATAATGGGGAAGAAATATTAGAAGGGGAAGAGAAAAGAAGAGTAGGAGAATACATTAATAACATGCAGAGCTATTATGCATGCAAGTTGTAACGAGCAACCATATTGATTGTCAGTAGCACAAGAAAAAAGGGGGAGGTACGGGATGATGGGGTACCGGTATAGCGCGGTGTCGGATGATACGCTCGCCGCGCCGACGGCCAAGACAGATTGCGTAATCATCACACACTAGCTACACGTGGACGAACGACCGAGGTCTTGCTTTCACTAATGACAGTTTGTCTTGTTTGAAAGAAGAACAATATGGCAGCTAATACATTCGCCGCTTCCCTTGTCGGTGTGTTAGATAAAAGGATTGACAATTCAGCACACACTTCATGGGATATCAATAAGATAGGAGGGAAACCGGCAAGTATATTTACAGCATATAGTTTGTGTTGGCCCACATGTTGAAATCTGTGTAGTGTTGTCTATTTTTGCTATTTTTAGTATTTCCACATCAGTGTCGATCAAAATAAAGCATATGGCCTTTTTTAATCAAATAAAAAAAGGGGACTCCGGGTTGGGGAGGTAACGGCCGAGAACACAAAAGTATAACCAATTTCTGAAAGCACAGAACAACAAAACTTCAAAGTTTTGGTTTTTCTTCCCAAATCATAATCTTGCACAGAAGTGAGAAGGTGTAGACCCTATTGCGTGTTACGGACACTTGGAAATTTGATAATGATTAAATTCAATTGATTTGATAATGACGTCAGAAGTGTAGATACAGTCAACAGGTTAATGAATTTACATTTGGTCGATGAGGGCGTTTTTCCAACGAACTGCAAAATTCTTGCATGTAGGAAGTTTGAAGACTGCCCAAATCACCATCAATTTTGGCTGATTGAGGCCCAATTGCTATTTAACTAAATGTCGTTATTCATTCTATGTACATCTAGACCCATTATCAACGACCAAAATGAGTACTGGAAAACAGTAGTATGATACCATCAAATGCATCACTATTAAAGCATTTTAAGCACCATCGTGAGCTCTGCTGTTATATATTTTGTTCATTGACTGTCATCATTTGCTATATGAAATAGATACATAATCAAATCGTCACGTGACACACTTGCTGTTTGTATATTCTAAACACTGTTTTCCAGGACTCATTTTGGTCATTAACGGATTAAAGGGCTTAGAGTGAATGACGACAACAATCAGGTTTTCAGAAAAAATTAGTATAGATGAGGTTTTACATCAATTGGTCTAAATGGTGATCAAATTATTAAGAAGCAGCTAGAGAAGGAGAGAGAGATGGCTCTTAGTCTTAGTTACATGTACAGTATCAGTTTTTAGTTCATTCTTCTTCTCTTTTTTTTCATTTTCATTGGTAGATCCATGTACATGGGCATGTACTTTATTTTAGTGCATAAAATATTGTATAAGTTTTAATTGGTAATGACCTATTGCTCAACTTAACTTAATTTGACAAGATTTTTTTTTTTTTTTCTTCTTTTTTTTTGCCACTGTTTCATTCTGCAGGACTGGATGATTAGCCGCACCCCTCACCCAAGGTGTGAAGCTTGTCAAAGTATGTTGACCCACGTGACCCAGCTGTACTGCCCTCTTGATGGTTCTCTTTACCACAGAACGATTTACGTCTTCACCTGTCTGACCAGTCAGTGCCAACAACATTCATACAGGTTGGTTTGCATACTGTCAAGTGTGCAGACAACACACTGTACACATGGTAGTTTTGATTGAAATCCATGGAAATAGCGATTCTGTGTTATGGTTATGGAACTTCCTGTTTTACTTATTAATGATATTAAAAACCTCACGTTGGTACAATCCTCTCCCCCTTCAACATTCTACCATTGAAATTTATAATAGAGTTTGAGAGGGGGTACTTCAAATTCTGAAACATTATGATTTACTTATGATAATAAAAACCTCATGTTGGTGCAATACCCACCCCTTTCAACATTCCACCAATTTGAATACTCATTCAGAATGGTGAAAACTGCAATTGGGTGTATGATAGAATTAGGAACACGACTGACTTGCTTGTACATGTATGCATGTATGCCATGTTATGTTATGATTTTATCTGATTTCTAAGTCCTCATACCCGATCAGCTTTACTGATCCCTTCAACTATGATAGTGACTAAAATGATATCAAAATGTAATAAAAATGAACTCACCATCACCCTTCCAATCCTTCCATCTTATCCAAATCCAGTTTCAGGGTGTTCAGGACTCAGAAACAAGCCAAAAATAACTCTGCTGACACTGGACGGCAGTCAGCCATCCCTGTACAGGCGCCAGTCAATGGTGCTGTGACCTTTGACACAGACTGGTGTGATGATGCTGATGACTGGGGTGATGAGGACGAGGCCGGAGGTGATGAAGGTGGCTTGGATGATGCTATGAATCAGTTGGGCATTGTCAAGGAGAAATCATTAGTAGCTGTGGAGGTAGGTTTTGATAATCAGACTTCCTTTGTGACACGCATGTTTATTTGTCTCTTATTTGTGACCTTCAAATCTTCACCATTTTTCAAATGGCAAACAAAATGTATATTTTTCATATTTTGATTTTAGTACCCTTTTCCACTATTTATTTCGACACTACAGATGTTCCTTTGGATCAACCAAAACTTGCAAGCCTTGAAAATATGGGCTCTGGTTAAATATGATAAGCTGGGAGGAACACTAGATGTCAGCCAGCAATTTTTTTTTAAACCATCATTTGGTTCTTAGACCCTTTTAAGTGAAGAACTTATCATAGACTATATGAGATGAGAATTCATTGTCTCATCACACCATTGTTTTAATGATGCGTTGGGTTGAATCTAAGTTTCCTATTTTCAACTGGGACTCGCTATCATACCATCTCCTTTATAATGAATGTTGTGTGCCCTTCCCCTTTCAGGCCTCATGTCATCAGACTCCTGTCGTAACAGTAGACACCAGCGCTATGACCCAGTCCAATACTGATGAACTGGAGCAGGGTCTTGGGCACCTCAGCCTGCATCCAACAGATCCCTCCTCCTCCTCACATCCAGTGGAGCCTTTATCTACAAAGCCAGTGTCTGCCTGGACAGAAATGGTTTCTGAACCCCTTGCAAATGGTGAGAGTGTTCCAGAACTTGTCTCCTTCTTCATCAATGTCTTTGACGAGCCTTCAGCGATGAGTGAAGATCTGCTGTCTCACGAGCATCGGTTGATGAGGGAATACCAAGAGAGGGAGGGAGTCTCATTATCCGAATGGCAGGAGGATGCTCATGGTAAGAGGTAGGAATGTCGATGATTTTGGCTTAAATAGGTGTCTTACTTTTTGAACATGTCTTTGGGGGGAGGAGTGGGTCAAGACATGATCTAAGAATAACCAGTCAGTGGTAATTCCCCCAAAAACATTCAAGATGTTGAGGTAAAACTTTCATGGGCGTATTATTCATTCCAAGAGGCACTGTCTATCTGCCAAGATTTATAACTTTTCATCACTCAATGGTTGAGATGACGCAGTAGAGGTAGAGACACCCCCTCATCCTCCTTGTTTGGCTCCTAACAGGACGTTGAGGAGTATACCGAAGAAGAAGAAGGGAAGGGGCAGAATTTGTTGTCTCTTTGGCCAAGAGACCACCAAAAGAACACCATTTTTTTCAGGATAAGTTGGTCTTTTCGAATTTCCCGTCTGATCTTTGTTAATATTTCTATGGTAAAGCTATCTCTTCCGCTGACACTAATTATAATCTTTTAAGGTCCTAATGAAATATAAAGTTCACTACTATATAATATGGTCTCTCCCTTTCTACTCTTTTCTTTTCAGTGGTAGCGGAGGAGATGGAGGTGGAGGTGAAGGGTACGAGAAGGTCACAGCCAAGCACGGAGACAGAACCTTCCAGAAGTTTGTCAAAAAGATCCAGTCCTGCCCCGAACAGTGTATAAGGTAATCACTTTCAGCAGATAGAGTTAATAGGCATGTTGCTTACCAAGTTCAGAATGTAGAGGGTTGCTGCACAAAAATTATATGTACTAATCTTCGATATGTAGAAATTCTGTTTCTTAATCGTTTTCAATCCCTCTTTGAAAAAGAAAGAAATGCAAGCATACATCATGCTCATATATTGTTTGAACTCACCGTGATTAATATTGTTTTTCCACACCCTCATGGGAATTTCAGATTTCTCCTTCCTTTTCCCTTTCCAAGCATGATATTGGGAACTCTCATATGCTGTGCAGTATTTATCAAACTGTTATAAACTCAGTTTTAAGAGCGTGTGTGTGTGTGTGTATACGTGTAATTGGGTTTTTACAGACGTATATCTAGCAAATATGATAAGTCTGGGGACCGACCTTAGACGTCACCATCCAAAAGACCCGACTCAGTTTCGAACCTGGGTCCAATCAGAATCACTTTGTAGACGAAGACAGAGAGTTGACCACGGACATTCCGCTAGACCAACTTCATCTCTGACGTACCCTTTTTATATTGTGATGATGTTTATATTGTCACTACTAAAAGTCTTGCTCCTGTTCCTTTGGCCTACTACCATAATATTATCAGGTACTGTTACGGTGGGAAGCCTCTTTGGATGACCGACCCCAACCAACAGCAATCAACCAACGTACCAGTCTGTGCTTACTGTGGTAGCAAGAGACACTTTGAATTTCAACTCATGCCTGCTTTATTACCTTCTCTACAGCTACCAGAGCAACCAGGTATTTTACTCTTTTGTGTGTGCCAAGTATTTAAAAAATATATATATATTTCCACTCCCTAATATTCATTACCATCTGTATTCCATCTTCTTTGGCCTTTTGTTGTTCGTTTAATTAAAAAAAAAGCATGGATTGTTGTTATGGTGCCACAGCCAGGGAGGGACAGTTTTGAAGATTAGTATCAAAATTCTTAGAAGATCTATCTACAAGAAATAACAGGAGAAGCGAAGTTTCCACCACTGCAAATTGCATTGCCATAAGGATTTGCTTTTTTTTGTTTTTGCTTTTGTGTGTGTGTGCTGTAGTTGTTGTTGTTTGGGGGGAGGAGGTGGACCAGGCAATCATAGAACTGTTTACCAATACTGTATGTGAAAGTCACCTTTCTTAATTTCTACAGAATTGAATTTTCCTGTTGTCCAAAGGCACTGGTGGTTTTAAAATGCCTCCTTTTTCTCTGTTTTATCCATTCTATGTTACAGCACCACCTATTGACTTTGGTGTTCTTGCAGTCTACACCTGTTCCAGGAGCTGTTGGACAGAAGACTGCAGTGATGTGCTCAGGGAGGAAGCACTCGTCGTTCAGCACGACCCAGACAGTAATGCCATTGTTCAGGCAGAACAAAAGTTGAAACAACTCCAACAGAGTCAAAGATAATTTCAATCTAGCGTGCAATAAATTATATCCTATGTTACATGTTTGGATGAAGCAAGAATTAAAAAAAATGATTGAATAAGGGAAGATACTGATAAGAAGTGCTCATAACATTTTCTCTCACTGAAGACACTTGGTTAATTCTTTACTGCTGCTACAGACATTTCGGTGCCCTTTTTGATGTATGAATCAAATATATATTGTATATCTTTACTTTTCTTCAAAGAATGAACTGTTATCCTTATCTTTTATAATTAAAAGAGAATGTATTGAAAAAGAAGGGGAATAATTTTTTTTTTTTTTTTGGGGGGGGGAGGCATGTTTGTGTGAGGTGAGAAATGTTGAAAGCCAGTGGAAATTAATTGAAAGGAAGAGGAGTGAATTCTAAAGAGAAAAAAGTGTGTACAATTTGAAGAAAAAAAGATGGAAGAGAGTTTGGAAGAGAGGGTAGAGATTACAAGATGGATATCAAAAGAGAGTGAGAATTAGGGGACGGAGATATCTATTGAAAGGGAGGACAGAGACCAAACGAGAAGAGAAGAAAATTAAAAAGGAATAGAGAGATAATAGAATAAGAACAACAGATAAAATGACAGAAGGAACAGAGGGAAATCATGGAATTGGCATATTACACGATTATGAAAAAGCACATGCGCACAAAATAAAGAGGGAAAGAGAGCGAGAGAGAAGGGGGAGAGTTAAAAATATGAGGAATGGCATATCTCTAAAATAGCCTTTCTTAACAAAGGGGGTAACCTCGCTAGTCGTAAGGACCGCTATTCATAACGTGTAACTTCCTATACTTGAAGGACCGCTATTCATAATACATAAAGGGGGCCACTATTCATAAAGGCATAAGGACCGCTATTCATAATTTGAAAAAGCAGTCCTTATGAATAGTGGTCCTTATGAATAGCGGTACTCCTGAAAAGTGGTCCTTATGAATAGTGAGCAGACCCCTAACAAAGTGCCCTACAATATGCAAGAAACAAGGTGAAAAACTGCTTTAAAAAATTCAATAGTTAAAACACACCATGTTTGAATAATAGAATATACATTTTATTAATTTGACTCAAAATCACAAAATATGGGCAGAAATTCTGCAGCATGAGGTGTCCTGTAAATACATTTATAATGAAGGAAACATTGCAAGATTTTATACACACTTTTTTCTTTAAAGTGTACTGATCTAAAAGATGACAAAAACATACATGTCCAGTATAAAACAGAAAGTCTAACAAATAGTAATACTGATATCAAATAATTTAATTTACAACCAATGCATGTTCCATAAAGAGAATTAAATAGAATTCTTAAGGTTTAGTAAGTACCTAAGATATGACTTCATGTATAAGCCAGTTCGTAAATAGCTTCGGAACGCATGACCCCAAAATATCCATAGATCTTTTACACGATGGATACGTCCCACTTGTACACTTCAGAATAATCACTGCCGAAGTGATGGAGGTGCTTCATGAATACCTTTCGATTGCCTCTTGAGAAGAATACTTCCACCTGTGTATCAGACAAATGTACTGTTGTTGCATAAATGAATACTGATTACATTAACTTTCATGAGCACAATACCAGTATTCGTCTCGATAGGTTTTACAATTTGGGAACAAATTACCTCTATCTGAGCTGCCGATGCGCAGATAGTATTTACGAACTGGCTTATTCTCTTATCAAATAAAATTACATTTAATGCCACTAAAAGATAACCAAAAAGGGTAACCCTGTTCGAGAAAAGAACAAATAAAAAAATGAAAACAGAACAAGATTACGACAAAAATTAAGAATATCTCCTGGCAGTAAATGTCATGTGATTTATTCATTAGTCTTAAAGGGCAATCCTACCTTTGTAGAAGATATGTATGAAAGCAGAAATAAAAGGTAAACTGAATGGCAAAAGTTTGAAATAACTTGAGCAATAACAACAAGAGACTTAATATGAATCATTGAACAATGAAATCACCAAATCTATGTAAATCTCAAATTGGCAATTTGGTCAGTGGATTGTGACATAGTCATAGACAACTCTCCTGTTGTGCACTAAAATTATAATGTCTGTTTTTCTCCTAAGTGCCTTCTCCTTTCGGGGCGGTACTCAAATAGACCCTCCTGCAGCATACATTTTGAAAAACTGACATTATACTGGTGGTCCTTCTGTGTGTATGAAACAAATGGGAAAGTTGTCCAGCACAACGCCATAGTTACATTACTTATTTAGCTTTTTAAAATTGCCCATACCTATAGTGGTTTACAAATCAAAAATAATAATAACTGTTTAGTTTTTGTCTGATTTTATTCAAACTCTCACCAGTCTGCATCTCTGGTTGTTTCTGCTTTCTTTTAGAGTAGATGTAGTTGTCTATTGAGGTGGGATTTTCCTTCAGAGGTGCACAAGAATAATTGCACATATATATATTATACATGATCTCATTGCACTGTCATGATCATGAAAATCATTTGAATTGTAAATAATTTGTTTCAAGCTTTAGAACTACATGTAGATGAAATTTACGAGCATTCAAGCAAGGTACATGATATAAATTTTACACAGCATTTGAGTTTGCATGAATGTCTCTATATATATATACATTATATAATAATAATATTCCGCTTTTATGTAGCGCTTAATACAATGTCTCTAAGCGCTTTACAGATATACTATTACCCCGGTCATTGGATTCAGTGCTTACCCGCAAACACTGTGTGCACAATCTCCACTCCCTGGGGAGCATTCCAGCCAGACGTTACTTGACGCTCAAAAACTGTTTGACCAACAATGATGGTCACATCCTACCAGGTACCCATTTAACACCTGGGTGGAGAGTAGCAAGTTCAGGTTAATATCTTGCCAAAGGATAATTAGTGCCGTGTCAGGATTCAAACCCTCGACCTTCGCATCTCCAGTCAAGCGCCTTAAACCACTCGGCCACGACACTCATTACACATACATGTAGCTTATTAATACTCGGTATTCAATGTAAGATTTTTTCAGCAAATGGAAGAAAGAATTTTCACACACAGATATACATCCAACAATAAAATTTACTATACCAGATGAATGAACATGCACTTGACATTACATAATAAATTTAAATTTAAAATATATTCATCTTTTATTATTCAAATGAGATAATACAATAAGTACATACATGATACATGTATGTAAACTGAAAAATCATGCAATAATTAAACACATCTTCAGAATAACTAGTATACTGTATGTTGTACAAAAATACAATGTCACAACATGATTACATAATTCAAGACAATAAACACTGAAATGCCCGTAGCTCCGTACATAGACTTTCAAGCCATAATCGACTCACATGATATGCAACCAAAAAAGATTTAAAGTGCATCACCAAATTTTGTGTGTGAATATATTTTACAATTACAGTCAATTATCTTGCAGCAAAGACAAAGACACAAGCAAGCCTGCACAAAGCATAAGTAAAGGTATTGTTAAGTACGAGTTCATACAAAAAAATGAATGAAAGAATAATTGAATGAATGAATTCAAATCTGAATTCAATAAAACACTGACTGTATACATGTATATATTCGTAGTCCTTAGTTCCAGCAAGAACATTGATTTGGAATTTTTCATAATTCTAAAACTCTTTTGGACTATTCATTTCATGACTTAATGTGTGTGCAAACAAGCCTCAACTGCGCATAGCATAGCCTGCATCGAATACATGTGTACAAATTGACCTTTCAAAACACCTCCCCAGTCTCCACCTTCCATTTTTCCCCTGTTTTTCTTTCATTTTTAACTTGTCTGACTCAGTTTATTGGCTATCATATATATTCTGTTAATTTTGCTTTGACACTGACTCAAATTCTGTCAGGTTTCTGACTTTTTGTGGAATTCATTTTCATGATTACCGGTTCTAGAACTCAAAACTGCATATTTAGAAATGTCAACACAAGAAAATAGGCAACCATAACACCATGCAGCACAACTTCATCAATTATGATATATATCTTATCAACATTCTGGTAGAAATGCATTTACATGCATCTGCACAGCATTTTGAGTGAAGAAAAAAATGGAATGGTATATGAAGTCAGTACTAATTGTACATTTCATGGGGGACAATCTGGTCTAAATAGCAAGTTGATCAGAAAAACAGAACAGAGAAAGTTGATTAAGGCCAAACTCATGCCACAATATATTACATGTATTAGTTCTGACTCTGTTCGCATACAGAACAGAGAAAGGCAACTTGCAAATTGACAATGCGAGTGTGGTGTCTAAGCCTCATACATAATGCTGATGCCTCTAGTCCAATGACCAACTCTCCCATCTCTACGCTTTGTGAGTGAACAAAACAAAGTCTCACATAATACCTGTATGTCCCCCCCCCCCCCCTCTCCACAACATAATTACCCTTCTCTCTCTCGGTGTTGAAAGGGTGCATTTCAGCAACCCTCCCCTGATTTGCCTGTGATTAAACAATCCATACAAAATTTTAAAAATGGCCAAGAAATATGCGTAAATTCATGTTTCATGTGCCCATGAACTAGAGCAATCATAAATGATACCAAACTTGATTAAACTACTTACTACATGAAAGGGGATGTGTTACAAAAAGATTACATAAGTACCTGGCTTTGGAGTATGAGTAATTACTAATCCTAATAATACACAGTGGTGGCATACATGCACATCATTCATCAGTATGAACATTTTTTACCTGAGCAGTATTTTGCAGCATTTTAAATCTTACTTCATATTTGTAGTTAGTATAAGCACTATTTATTTTTTTAAAAATAAATAATAATAATAATAATCTTCCATGAATCAAAATTTTTAAAAAAATTACATGTACATTGTACATGTATTACTATTAAATGATGAAGCCCACCTCAACAATTATATACCGGTAATCACTTTTAATTGCGACTCCATTATAATGATGATTTAATGGGAGTATTTGTGAGTCGGATCACTGTGCACCTCATATGAGCCTTTAGTAGTTCATTACAGAATGAATGCCTAAAAAAAGGTTATAAGGTCACTTAAATTTTTTATGAAATAAAACTTTCACTAAAGTGTAAAAAATTGGCGATTTCCTTTTTAAAAATTCAAAAGCTACATGTATAATGTCCATGTATTAAATCATCTCCACATACATCTTCTTATATAATTGTTAAAAAACAAATCAGCTGCAAAGATATCTTTAAATTAATCAAGTATGAATAAGAAAGATAAGAGTAGGAATGTGCATAAAAACATAAAGGTATTGGTTGGCAAACTACGTACATGTGAATTCTTATATTATATATGGATTGCTTTGGTATGCATTGATATATGCAAATAAATTATTTCAAGGAACTAACTTTAATTTTAGGAAGAGCAGGAGGCTGGACTTACAAAAAAGTAGATTTTGCCTCCAAAATTGATGGCGATATATGACAAATGCTTTACCGGCAAAACCAGAAAGCTTTTTGTACATTAAATGATCACAAATTGTGATTGGTTCAAATTCATAAAAGATTCATACCAGGAAATAATTTAATAACTATGGACACAATTCTTAGTTATTGCAATTTGCTGCAGTTCTTGCAGTGAAAATTCCTCTTGTTTACAAAACATGATAGCTTCAGAGAGAAAGAGCTTCTGGTTTTACTGTCAATTCTTCACCAATGTAATGACATTGATTGTTATTTTGAGAATCGCTCCATGACACAACAACGAAACTGCAGGACGCATTTCGATCGGGTGTGTTTTGAATACCACTTACACTGTCAGCGAAGGAATATTGAATGAAAGGCCTGGGGCTGAGTCACTGCGATCCCATCCTCGTCCTGCCGTTCTGCTGACACTGGTGGTGGTTGTTCATCTCCTTCAGGGACCTGTGACTGGCGATGTCCGCAGGGAGCTTGCACCACTCGCAGGACTCCTTCCACAGGGCCACCTGCAGCTTCCTGTCGTAGGTGAGGCTGCTGGACGCGATCGAGCCACAGTTGTCAAGGTAACAACCTCCAACGCCTTCCATCTCGTCCGACAGAGCAGCATAGATGGTTGTGGCGCTGCCTTTCTCAATGGTCTATCGAAAGAAAAAGGGAAAAACATAAAGCATTTTGTTGTACAGTGAAACCCGTCTATAAAGCTACCCAAGGGAGACAAGAAAAGCGGTCTTTAAAGGCAGGTGGTCTTTGTAGACAGGTGCCTATAGTACATGTTTCAATGAGAAACCATTTTCAAGGGAAACAAAAAATCTGGTCTTTGTAGACAGGTGGTCTTTGTATGCAGGTGGTTACTGAAGCAGGTTTGACAGTACATGTATTTCCACTGAGGTACTTCTTTTTTTAAAGATAAGGTTGAACTCTATTCATGCACTTGCTTTGTGATCAAAACCATCCGGGCACGATCGGAAATGGTTTATCATGTAGCACATGAGAATTGGTGGGTTTTGGAACTGTCAATGTAAGAAATGAAGTCAGTCCTGCTGAAAATCGCATGCATTGTACACAGAATCGGGATTGTATGGCACGTGGCATGACAGCTTGGTCCAAACATTTCAGTTCTTTCTTGTCCTATTTTGACCTGAAGAGTACTCTTTTACAATGGGGCATTTTTCAAGGAAATTCTTCACACTGACATTTTTTTTTTAAAAGGGAAAAGCTCACAAAATTATATTTTCACCTATCCTAGAACTTAACTTTTCTCTTTAACCCACTGAATCATTAGGATTCATGTAACTTGGTCCAGGAGCTATGGAAGATCTGTGACTGTGTTTACTACGAAATCAAATATTATCTGACACATCGTAGCTAAAACATCGGCAAATACAATTTGACACACAAATATTACTGGATTTTAGCTAAACTTTTTGGTAAAATGCATTGAACCCCCCCCCCCCCCCTCTAAAAAGGGACTTGATTAAATGATTCTCTATCTGTGTACAGAGCATACACATGTAAGACCAAACAAAATTAAGTATTTATCTATGAGACTGGCACTCAAGGTACATGATACTATTAATATGATTACACATGTACAACTGTTTTGTCAGGAAAATAATCTTCCTCTTATTTCACCCCTTCTCTGTCATTTTTGGATTCATTCACGTCTTTCATTTCACTACAATCTCACTCTACTACCAGTAATGATAATCGATCAATCTCTGATCTTGAATTCAATCCAACTCAATTTACAAGGCATGTAGTAAAACAAACGAAATAACCCCAAAACACGACCGATCCACTTCTTTTTTTGCTGTACAAAGTTCAGCCTAATGTGGAAAAAACAAATAATAAAAACAAGAGCACCTCTACAACTGCTCTGCAATATCACTCAAGTAAATATTATGAATGCAGTTTGGCCTATGATCCGTTACGATAACATCACATCACGTACTGAGGTACCAGAATAGGATCAAGGATACACAACTCTGTTTGCTAAACTTTGCTTGGATAACAAAATTGAACCTTGACCTGATAATACTTGTACAATGGTATTGTTTGACAGTTGAGATGAAGGACCGTTCAAAGTCTAACTCATTGTCCATTTAATCACTGTTATTGCCTATTGGGCATACGTCCAACAAAACAAGTATGTGGCATATTATTTAAATGTAATTCACTATCTAATCAGATTCAAGTAATATACATCTGATAGCTTATAAATTGTGTTATCCAAATAAACATTACACATATAACTTGTTATGAAATGCGAACGAAATTGAAGATCGAACTGACTATCACGTACGATGCTGAAGGCTTATCTTAAAGGTAAAGACCAGTATTGGCAACGCCCCAATTTCAAAAAATGAAATGGAAGCTCTCATTACCAATCATGTGAAAGAATATGTTTTGACTAATACATGATGATAAAAAATTTGCCGGGAAACCGCCTACTAATTCATATATTTGGTAAATTTAATTCTCTCATGGTCTGGTGAGAGAGATAGGGTAGTCCCATATACATCTTTCTGTGTATAGTGCTTGTAACTTTACGAAGAATGGGCCAAATTTCTTATCATTTTGATGATTCCAGAACCTTGCAGATGCTAGATGCTAGATGATCAACCTTTTCTGATCGATTCCACAACGTTTCTTTCACAATGCAATCGCATGACCATTACTGGTCTTTACCTTTAATGACATATATGCTATGTTACTAGAAAAAAAATGTGGGAAAAGGGTACAGAAACAGCAATATCTCTCCATTTAAACATATCTTATAATAAGATAAACTTCTTATGAATAATCAATAGTTATGAAAGTATTTCTGTCAAATACGCAATGTCATTCTCCAAAAGAAATAAAAACAGAGCAAATTTCTCTTAACCATAAATAGTAAATGCACATGTACAAGTCTCTATAAATGTTGATTCCATGTACATACAATGTATGGAATGTACACATAATCATTAAATTTGAGAGTTATTACAGTATTAGGAAGTAAAATGAAGACTCAAAACATACATGTACAAGGGATCTAGATTTAGATTTGAATGCGTCACATCCATAATCCATTTACATTAAAAGCTGGAAGAATACACTCAAAGCATTGATTATTAGCATCATTCCCCGAACTGAATTGAAAGAAAACAAACTCACATGTACACACCCATTTGGAAAAGGACATATTCTGCTGATCAATTAATTTATAAACAGGAAATTGTTCTATTCACAGTTTAGAAACTGGTAACAGGATGTGAAAATAGGATAACACCAGCAGAATGACCATGGGATTAAACTTGGGATCTCCTCCCACATCCTTTAAACTAAATACATACCGGTATGCTCTAAATGACAATAAATAACTATAACACACTATGAACATGTCGAACAAAGAAAGCGGACAAAATAAACAGTTCCTCGGGTAGACAAAAGAACATCCCTTCACTGCTATTATGTAAAAAGTGAATATGTATGTGACACCTGTTCTACACATTTTTACATAATAGCAGTGAAGGGATGTTCCTTTGTCTACCTGAGGGACTTTATATTTTGTCCGCTTTCTTTGTCAGTCATATTCATAGTGACAGTCACTGCACTACAAACGTATAAAAGGGCAACTCCATTCTAACATGTAAAAGTGCAGCTTGGAAGGAGTATGAAGTGATGTATGTGAAAGCACAAAGTCCCTTGCGGCCGGGGTCGAATTCTTGCTTAAAGCCCCTCCGCACTAGTTTGGCCAGGAGGGATTAGACCTCCCTGCATGGTCATCAAATCAGCTCTCAGTTAACATAAGAAAAAGGGGATCATGGGGACCAATGGTCACCGCTAAGGCATTGTTTGCTAAATAGAGGGTGCGAGTAGCTACAGTATAAGTAGTGCAGTGTTGCTTTAAGGGTACCTTAAAGGGCTCTCCATTTATTAGATGACCTCTGGTGCAATCTAAACCATATTTTGAGGCATTTTCATACAAACATATTTCATGACTACTTTTTAAAAATTATTTTGTGAGAGAACAAATTTAAAACCAGTCATTATCTGTCCCTGTTACTTGTTAAAACACCTTGTGTACCACCAAATACCCCAGACTTTCCCCAAGACCGAGCGTGAAACTAAAATCTGGCTACCTACCCAAATCAGACCTAGCTGAGAGACAACAATCTTGGCCATCTGAATGAGCGGATGCATATTCTGATAGAGCTGTGAGCCGACTACGCCTGGATGTAGGCTGTTGACCGTGACCCTGCGACTGGCTCGGTAGATGCGACGCTGGAGCTCTTGGGTGCCCAAGACAACGGCTAGTTTGCTGTCGGCATAGGCCTTGTAAGGGGAATACTCTTTCTTTGGCATACTACAAAAAGCAAAAAACAATTGTATGATTCATTAAAATCGTAACCATTATGCACATGTCATGTACTATATATGTGTTTTAAACTTTAAATCATTTTCTTCTGAAAACCCTCGACTAAAATGCAAAATATACATATTTCAAAATCTTTGAATAAGCTGCATATCTGTTCAGCCCCGAGTGAGTTGGAAAATTTAGATATGAAAAAAAGGGTTTACCACATAAAAAGATTTCACCTTTTGTTTTGAACACATCATATTGAAAACAATATCTAAAATAAATATGGTCATCCGGAATACTTGCATTTATCCCTTTATCATGGTTTCTCTAAACATCTGTTTCGATCAAATCATAATTTCATAATCTTTTCATCCTCAATCCATCACTCAGATTTCACACATGAAGCATGAATAGACTTCCAAGAGTCCCAATCAAGTTTTGAGCTGCTCTTTCATTATCTACCCGAGTGTTCACAATTTAACAACCTTTTATATCTAGGCTTTACACTGTACACAATTCCACTGTTAAAGGGACAAAGACTGAGTATTGTTACCCTTTTTTTTAAATAAATTGCTGAAAAGTTAACACTTTAGTCTTACAATAATAGCAATAACAGTGAACAATTACCAAAAGTTCAAAAGAAGTGATGATATGAAGATTTTTCGAGGGGTGGAATTATCAAGGATCGTTTGCTGCGATGCCCTTTTCACAAGCCCAACTGCCCCTTCTAAAATGAAAATGCTTCAGGTCACATCAGCCATGCCAATTTACTATCATAATGAATATTTTTGAAAGGTGAAACCATGGGAAGGAGGGGGTGTGGGAATGAGACGTATCTGTCCCTCTGACTTTCCATAGTGGCCTGTCCCCCCTGCCCCCCCCCCAAAAAAAAAAGTGGATTACAACATTCTTTCAAGGCTTGCAGACTTACATTTTTGGCAAATGTGAAGCGTCCATCCAGCCCCCGAAGTGGGCAATGGAAGAAACGTTGATGATCTTTGCATAGCTCCTAGAGTGAGCCGAGTTGTGCAGTTTATCCAACAGGAGTCTCATTAAGAGGTAGTGGCCGAGGTAGTTGACCTGAAACTGCAGTTCAAAGTCATCTGCCGTCTTGTGGTACGGAGTCATCATGACCCCGGCTTCAGAAGACATTGATGAAGAAATGGACGACAAGTTCAAAAATTACAAGCGAATAAAAACAACAACAGTTCTGACCAACAACATTGATGACGTCTACAATGACAATGACACTTACATGTGTATGATCAGGAGAAGGCCACTGCTTCATTGTGGGTGCAGTAATGAGCCAAAATGCAAAGACTGGCACTCGATCTACTCAACTTTAAAAATGATGATGGGATTACAAAGACAATAGTCTGAGGCCCAATTCTTCCCCTGTTGAATGGATCTTAGACCCAGGGGAAGGTTAGTTGAGTACAGACCAAAGAGTGTGCAAGTCTCATTGAAGGCCTACCGGTAGTCAGTATGGACTCCTGTTGACAAGAATTTTGTTCAACCTATTGCCAACTGGAAATGGATGGTTCCTACAAGCATTTAAACCTATACTGGAAATTGGGAATGATAGTATTCAGTAGTCTGCGGGTTAAACTAAACAGTGACCATTCAAACGCTTACCATTATTGACTATAATGTGTAGAGGTAGTTTCGAATTAAGAAATGTTTCAGCAAAGTCCCGAACCGACTGGAGGGAAGACAGATCCAGTGGTATCCACTCCACGCGAGCTAAGGCATTTTCCTTTTTTATGACCTGAATTGCCTTTTTTGCATTCTCGGCATGAGGAGAACCTTCAATCAGCAATGATAATAAATACAAAAGAAAAGAATAGGTGTTTAGTTATTAAAGATTTGGAATATGAGCTCAATTATTATTTACTTAAATTAGTACAGGTACATGTATTACAAAGAAAGGACACATTTTTGGTAAGCATGACTTACGCCCAGTTTCAACTCAAGTCTTTATCCAGTAGAGTAGACCATGAATTCCCCCCCCCCCCCTTCGAAAATCAACTGTACTTTCTGCAGAGTTGTTGTGGCCCACTGTGGTTCACATGGTTCACAGTTCCAAGTTATGCCAAAGCACTAATGTCCTTTGGCAAGGCATTAGTCTACATTTGCCACTCTCCAACCAGGTTTAGAAAGTGGGTACTTGACAAGAATGTATTCCTTTAAATGCTTGGAGCACCATATGGCACCTTGGCTTAATCCAAGATAATAGTACTTCGAGCATCCCCTGGGATTGATGTACAAACACGTGTGCAATATAAATGTAGCTAGCTACATGTATGTAATTATTATCATTCAACAAAACTTGTTACTTACCAATTATTACTTGTATTCCTTTTCTGCAGAATGCCTTTGCCGTTTCCAGACCAATGCCAGATGCTCCACCAGTTACTATGGCAACTTTTCCATCATGCCTTGAGATGTCTAAGGAAGATAAAGAAAAGGAAAAAAAAGAAAAGAAAGGAGTTTGTTAACCCATTGCCTATGCGAACCTGGTGGCTCCTGTAATAAAGGCCAGGCTTTCTATGGGAATAATAGACTTTAGCAGTCAATATATCAACTTGTGACCAGGGCACGATAACAATAACTGGTGTTGGAGGGTAAAACAATGATCAACTGCAATGCAGAATGTTAGAACCTATGTTTTTAATATTTTTCACATATTTATTAGTTTCTGATTGTGGGCAGCAGATTATATATTCCAACAATGGTTAGAAATTTCAGGGAATTTGAGAGTTCATTCCAAGATTCTTTATATTTTTCTTTTCTTCAGTTGTGGAAACACACAGTTCATGCCTTCATTCATGGTTCACATTTGTGTGAATGGGCGATTATGAACCCTTAAATGTACATACATGTACCGGTAGTTAGACTTAACATTAGACTTAGAGCCGAGGGTTTATTTTCTGGAAATCGGCATCTGGTTGCTGCAGTATAATCTCTCCACGTAGGTGGGTAAGAAAACCAAGCCTGTAACCAACGCCTAGGCTTAGCTCAGAAAAAATTTCTGGAAATCGGCATCTGGTTGCTGCAGTATAATCTCTCCACGTAGGTGGGTAAGAAAGCCAAGCCTGTAACTAACGCCTAGGCTTAGCTCAGAAAAATCAGTCCATTTCATTCGGAATATTGTATGTTCTGAATTTTGTGGAGCTACATCGGCTTCATCGTATCACTCTACAAACTAGGAGTTGGACTAACTCAGCCCAGCATCAAAATTTCAATAACGGTCAGTTTTTGCAGGTTTGGGGTTAGGTTTGGGGTTAGGTTTGGGGTTAGGTTTGGGGTTAGGATTAGGTGTAGGGTTAGAGTTAGGGTTAGGGTTAGGGTTAGAGTTAAGGTTAGGATTATGGTAAAGTGACAAAAACTGACTGTTTTTGCAGCTGGGCCAAGCTTTCTTTGCTCCGAGTTAGCAGTAGGGGCGCTGGTCCGAGAATGAGGATCGTCCTCACCCAGGACCAAAATCCAGTTGAAACCAATTGGAGCAAAACCAATTGAAACCAGTTGCCAACTGGTTTCAATAGGGAAATTGGAACAACTGGTTCCAATTGAAACCAGTTGAAACCAATTGCCAACTGGTTCCAATTGAAACCAATTGCCAACTGGTTCCAGTTGCCTAACTGGTTTCAACTGGAACCAATTGTTCCAATTTCCCTATTGAAACCAGTTGGCTTCAACTGGTTTCAACTGGTTTCAATTGGTTTCAATTGGATCCAATTGAAACTTACAGATGGCATAAACTTAATTAGTTATGAGTTAATTAGCTCTTGCACTAATTATCGCTCATGTCAACACAGAAACATTGTTATATGTGTCTACATTAAGTACAATGTAAAGGGCATTATAATATGCAGACCATATAATATACTTAACAAGGAAGGCATTGCCATTATATATGTTTGTATTTGATGTATTTTGTACATGGTTAGTGTTTTACTAATCAACTTTTAATCTGTGTAATTACAAAAATATATTACTAATGAACATGCTTATCATTGCTAATTAATCTTTATATTTATCTAAAACAAATGCATTACTTGCAAATGAAAACCAATTAATAAGTACATTGTAAATCAAAATAAATTACATAAAACATTGATCTTCACACAAGCATATAATATGCAAATTAACTGGTTTCAATTGGATCCAGTTGGGTTACTGGAAATATTTCCAATTGGAACCAATTGGGTAACTGGAAATGAATTCTAACTGGAACCAGTTGGGTAACTGGAAATTACTTCTAACTGGAAATGAATGCTAACTGGAACCAATTGGGTAACTGGAAATGAATTCTAACTGGAACCAGTTGGGTAACTGGAAATGACTTCTAACTGGAAATGAATGCTAACTGGAACCAGTTGGGTAACTGGAAATGACTTCTAACTGGAACCAGTTGGGTAACTGAAATGAATTCTAACTGGAACCAGTTGGGTAACTGGAAATGACTTCTAACTGGAAATGAATGCTAACTGGAACCAGTTGGGTAACTGGAAATGACTTCTAACTGGAAATGAATGCTAACTGGAACCAGTTGGGTAACTGGAAATGAATTCTAAATGGAATCAGTTGGGTAACTGGAAATGAATTCTAACTGGAACCAATTGGGTAACTGGAAATGACTTCTAACTGGAAATGAATGCTAACTGGAACCAGTTGGGTAACTGGAAATGACTTCTAACTGGAACCAGTTGGGTAACTGGAAATGAATGCTAACTGGAACCAGTTGGCCACTGGAAATGAATTCTAACTGGAACCAATTGAGTAACAGGAAAATCATCTTAATGTTTCCAGTTGAACTTCTAACTGGAACCAGTTGGGTAACTGGAAATGACTTCTAACTGGAACCAATTGAGTAACTGGAAAAATTACCTTACTGGTTCCAGTTGCACTTCTTATTGGTTTGAACTGGAAATGAGTACCCATAACAATATTTTCCAGTTCGGCAATTGGTTTCAACTGGAAATTTTCTATTCCAATTGAAACCAATTGAAACCAATTGAAACCAGTTGAAACCAATTGAAACCAGTTGGAGATTTCAACTGGTTTCAATTGGATTTTGGTCCTGGGCATAAACAAGGATATCCTCATAAACGAAGACAAAATGTGTCCTCAAAAATAAGGGTCGTCTGCATTTTCGAGGACGTTTTTTTTCATCGGCGCTCTGGGGGTTTCATGTTACAGAACGGCCCGCTGGCGATGCCAAAAATGGATTCCCCGGGGGAAAATAACCCTAGTTGTCCGTCTACTTTTATGGGTTGTCCGTCTTCCCAAGGATTTATTGCTCATAATGTGAAGGTCTCTGTACAAAGTCAATGTAAATTGCATCAAGAAAATCATTGCAGAATCCGTTTTTTGCATCGCCAATGCGCCGATCAAAAATATGAAACATCTGCAAAAATGCAGACGGTCCTTATTTTTGAGGACGCATCGGTCAGTGTTAAAGAAGACGATCCTCGTTTATGAAGACGATCCTTATTCTCGGACCAGCGCCCCTACTGGTTAGCCCGGATTCTCTACAAAACAATGATGTAATAAAACTCCTAGTCTAGGTCTAACTCTATAAGCAGACAGATTGTTCAGTCTAGTATAATGCTAGCCTGTGGATGGCAACGCAGCCTATGGTCTGGATAGCAAACCACCCCTCCCCACAGACCTGCCTCCCCAGCCCTCCTTCTCAAGATCAAGCCTCTCCATTGCAGTCTCTCCACTCCTTAGCTTGGCACAGCTCAGCGGCTTACCGCTCCGTTCGGTATAGGTGACCAGCCCATGGCCATGCACGTCACGGAGACACTGCGTGAATATAGTAAAGTGTCCTCACCTTCGGGCTTTTTGTGGCCTCTCAGAAGCTGACGAATAGTTGCAAATATTGCAATACCATAAAGAACAATCATGTAAAACGTCTGCCTCCACCACTCCATGCCGTTATCCGCATAATTCAAACAAAATTCTCAGATCAAGTCGACATTCCTCGCGCACCTGGGCTGTGGAGTATAATTGTTGTTCCTGTACTATACATATCACATGGCAAAGTCACATGTCACAACATTGGTTTTCGCACGCGCACGCGCACTCGACTCCGAATGAAAAACAGGGCGAGGCAGCCGAGGAGAGGGAAGGGGGATTACACCTATAAGACAAACCCTCATCCCTCTATACTCCTTCTTTTTCTTTAAATTCTTAACTGAATTCATTGTTATTGTTAATGAATTTCTGTATGCAATATAATACAAACCCCAAAATATATAGCTCTATAATTATATTTGTACACCTATAAGAAACACCCCTAGCTCATCCCTCGACTCCTTCCCCCACTCATTATTCCTTCTTTTCCTTTAAATTCTTAACTGGATTCATCGTTACCGTTATGCAATATAATACATACCCCAAAATATATAGCTCTATAATTATATTTATACACCTATAAGAAACACCCCTCATCCCTCTATAGCTCCCCCCCCCCCACTCATTATTCCTTCTTATACAACATCAAAGACAAAATCAACAACAACAGTGGAAACAACAACAACAACAACAATAGCAGCAGCAGCAGCAGAAACAAGTAAAACAAAAACAAAAACAGGTGTTTCATTTTTTAATTACATCTAATTTCCATATGTCATTTTACTTATTTCCAATAAACAACATATTTTTTAAATAAATCTTTTTAATCGCTTTTTATAAAAAGAAAGATAAAACTGATGTTAGCAACTATAGACCTATTAGTGTTTTAAGCGTAGCATCAAAGATTCTAGAAAAATCGGTCTGTGTTCAAATTGAAAGATACTTCAAAGAAAATGATATAATTTATGAATTTCAATCTGGTTTTCGACATGATTATTCGACTGAAACATGTCTAATTCATTTGACTGATTATTTGAGGAGAGAAACTTCCCAAGGACGCTTTGTTGGTATGGTGCTCCTTGATCTGCAAAAAGCTTTTGATACAGTTAATCATTGCGTCTTATTGAAGAAGTTACAACTAATGGGTTTTGATAAGGCAAGTTTAGATTGGTTCAGATCCTACTTATCTAATCGGCACCAAGTAGTGGCCATTCATGATATTCGTTCCAAACTAATGCCTATAACATGCGGTGTTCCTCAGGGAAGTATTTTAGGCCCAATTCTATTTTCAAGTTATATAAATGATATGTGTATTTGTATAAAAGACTTCAAACTATTATTGTACGCAGATGACAGCGTACTACTCTATTCAAATCCTGATCCTAAATATATTGAGGAAAAGCTCAGTGAACAGCTGTCTACGTGTGTCGATTGGATGACTGATAATAAGCTTTCTTTACACTTGGGAAAAACAGAAAGCATTTTATTTTGTTCTAAAAGTAGTTCTAAAAAGTCATTTGAATTCAAAGTGACACACAATAATCAAGCAATCAAGAGAAAAGAGTCTGTGAAGTATTTAGGCATTGAGTTGGCTAGCGCAATTTCATTTTCATCTTTAGTAGAATCAGTTGTAAAAAAAGCAAATTCTCGTCTGAAATTTTTGTACAGATATCAAAGTTGTATGGATTTAAAAGCAAGACGTACACTCTGTTTTGCTCTTATTCAATGTTTATTTGACTATGCTAACCCTGCATGGTACAGTAACATAAACAAGTCAGATCAAAAGAAGTTGAAGATTATACAGAACAAAATGGTGAGATTTATCAACTGTTCTGGTCCAAGAACTCATGTTGGCTATAGCGAACTTTCTAAAGCTGGTTTTCTTGAAGTCGACCAAAGATCAAAACAACTCGCATTGCATCACGTGCATAAAATATATCATACTAGGGCGAATCATTATATTCGATCCAACTTCGATCTTGTTACTGACGTACATGATTATAATACAAGAAATAGACGATTCAACTTTAACTTACCAGAAAGAGTAGGTAGTATTGGAAATTCGTTTTATTACAATGCCATAAAACATTGGAATTCCCTTCCCAATGGTGTAAAAGAAATAGGAAACTATGATCATTTTAAGAGGAAATTAAAGGAATACCTAATACTTGACAGTCAGAGAAGAGAAGTGAATGACATGTTATATGATTGAAATTGTTATTCTTCTGTCGGTTCATACTTTTTCATGTTGTATATACTTATGTTTTCGTACGTTATAGAAATTCTACAAATTCATCATTATTTTCCTCTTCTTCCTTCTCCTCTTTTTCTTCTTCTCCTTCTTCTTTTTCTTCTTGTACTTAATATCATTTCTATCATCAGTTTAATGTTGTTATTATTATCTTTAATAAGTAGTTCTTTTAATTTTCTTATCTGTCTGTAAATATTACTATTTTAATTTATTAATTGTATACATGTCTGTAAGGGACCCCACTGGAAATAAGCTCTCGAGCTTTCGTGGGTTATCCTGTTCAAGCTGACTTATTTTTGATCTGTTATTATTGTATATTGTTGTATATTGGAAGCTTGTCGAATAAAAATAAAAAAAATAAAAAAATAAAAAAAAAAAATAAAAAAAAAAATTCATTGCTACGAAACTTTTTTATCCAAGGTTGATCAACGTGAAATTATGATTCAAATCCTTATCATCTTTAAAAGAGTCAATTAGCTTTCATTTCAATTAATAAATATAAACTGACCGGCTTTTTTTTTCTTCAGTTGAAAACCATTAAACAACGGCAGGGACGTCACAGGAACATTTTTAATGGGAGTATATAGGGGTGTCTGACGGACAATTAGGGTTACCAGCAGACATCCTTGGGCCCATTAGCGTATATAATACTACCTGTAAACTTCAATCAAAGTGATTGGTTGCTAATAAAGGAAGAATCGCGATGTTGAAGATGAAATGCTTTCGTGTTTTGTATGTAGGCCTATCACTTTGAAGGAAAATATTTGCCCTTTCGTAATTTTAAGTAATATGATTGAAATTGAAACGACATCAACGACAAATTCAACAATTACAACATCACAAATAGTAGGAGCAGCAGAAACAAGTAAAACAAAAACAACAAAAATCTGTTTCATTTTCATATGTCACTTGTGGTATGGTGCTCCTTAGCTGCAAAAAGCTTCTTTTCGCGGGCTTTTCCTGCCTTGGAGACCCCCCTATATCAGGAAAAATGCTCAATGTACCTCCCTAAATTCGGAATAACTTCTCAGGAATCCAAAGAGATGAGAGAGAAAAGGAAAAACACCCCCTTTTTAAAGAAATCTCCAGGTGAAAAGTCAAATACACCCCTTTTTTTTACAATTCTCGGGCCGGAATTTGTCGCACGAAAAGTACCCCTTTACCGGACATTTTGGCAACACGCATGCGGTCATTCCGATCCCTGAGTGGGGGGGGGGGGGGGGGGGGGGGTCAGGAGTTAATCATTGCGTCTTATTGAAGAAGTTACAACTAATGGGTTGTAATAAGGCAAGTTTAGAGTGGTTCAGATCCTATACGGCAGCATTTGCCCCATTGGCACCAACATGCACCCCCCCCCCCTCCACTCCGTGAACGGAGGGTACCATGCGTGTTACCAAAATGTCCGGTAAAGGGGTGCTTTTCACGCACCAAAGTCCGGCTCGTAGTCAGGGGCGTAAATCCCGGGGGGATGGGGGGGGGGGATGGGGGGGGGGGCTGCACCCCCCTGGCTTGAAGTAGGGGGGATGGCCTGTACAATCACCCCCCCCCCTGATATTACCCCAAAAAAGAGGGGAAAAAAGGAAGAAGAAGAAGAAGAAAAAAATGTGATTGTTTCAATTGCAGCATAATGCATGAGAAATTAGTTATTTTGTTTATGTATAGCCTACACGTATACAGTATGTCACGATAAGGAAACGTCAAGGCTTCCGCGCTTCGCGCGAGAGGGGGAAACTGAATTCAGATAAATAGGGCTTATTAAGAGTCGAAAACGGTGCAACGAATCGTCTTCTTTCTATAATAATTAAATCAAACGTCTAAGCTTTTCGCGCTTCGCGCGGGAAGGGGAAACTGAATTCAGACGAGAATTAAGAGTCGAAAACAGTACACTCAATCGTCTGCTTTCTCTAATAGTTTAAGGAAACGCCAAGGCTTCCGCGCTTCGCGCGAGAGGGGGGAACTGAATTCAGATAAATAGGGCTTATTAAGAGTCGAAACGGTACAACGAATCGTCTGCTTTCTCTAATAATTTAATTAAACGTCAAAACTTCCGCGCTTTGCGCGGGAGGGGTAAGCCGAATTCAGACAAAGATTAAGAGTCGAGCACTGTTTAATAAATCGTCTACTTTCTCTTATAATTTAATGAAACGCCAAAACTTCCGCGCGGGAGGGGGGGGGCCGGGGGGGAAACTGAATTCAGACAAGGATATACAGTCGAGAACGGTACAGCAAATCGTCTTCTTTTTATAATAATTTATTGAAACGCCAAAGCTTTCGCGCTTCGCGCGGGAGGGGGGATTCATTCAGACAAGGGTTAACAGTAGAGAACGGTACAATAAATCGTCTTCTTTTACTAAAAATTTAAGGAAACGTCTAAGCTTCCGCGCTTCGCGCGGTAGGCCTTTCACCCACACAACCCTAATGAGCGAGCGTGAGTGTATGTGCGTGTGTGTGTGATTCAAAAAAAGATTAAACTCTCTTTAGATATTCCACCATACTATATGGAAATGTTGCAAGCATGGCAAGAGACAAGTAATTTAAGATATTTGGAGGGTTATATTAATCCAATTATTTTTAATAATCAGAATATATGTATAAATGGAAAAAGTATATTTGATAGATACTTGTTTGAAAGAGGGATTGTTCAACTGAATCATTTGGTTGAGAAAGGTCATGTTAAGTCTTATAAATATTTTATGAACCTCGGTATGAAAGGTAATAATTTGCTTATGATTATTGATATTTATGATGCGATACCCAGGTTATGGAAGGATGATTCAGGGTTAATAGAATTCCTCGAGGTTGATTTGATAAGCTTTAATACTTATTTCCATATTTCTAGTAAAAAAATACAGTTTGTGGATGTGGGTTCAAGAACAATCTATGATTATTTTATCAAAGCACTGCAACAAACGTATGATTTGCAGGTAAGGGATGGGCAAAATGATTATGA